GGGGGGGGCGTGAAGTTGTATTTATGTGCTGCTTGGGAACAGAATTAGGGCTTACAGGAGGTATTGGTTTAGGTGTCAGTGAGTCAGTTTCGCATGCACGGGGCGTCATCAGGAAGGCTAGAGGGCCAATCGGGGTGCTGGGCGTAAGACACACCTAGTACGAATCGAGTTTAACATGAAACTAGCCGGGCACTAACATGTGCTAAGTTAATGCTGATGCATAGGGCACTTACTTGCACATGCGGCTCGAATACGGGCTGAAAAAGAGTGGGATCTGTCTGGTTTCCCTCATTAGGCCATGGTAATATGCCCCTACATGGGCAAATCGTATAGGATAATCTAGACCTGCGTTCTCCGCCGACACAGTCACTGTTTTGATGTTGGTCAAGCCAGGATTTATTCTCGTGAAGGCGAAAGCTATGACTGTATCGGCAGCATACATGAGGCATAATTATACGGTATGCAAAGTCGCTCTGGAGTGGGCTGAATACAATGGTCAAACAAATGTTGCCGAATTTCTACGCCCACTGTCCACCGGTCATGGCCCAGGACCCACCTCTCAGTTCACAGCTGAAGATGGATGCCATTTTAGCACTCTTCCCATGGTGGAGATCTTGAAGGAAAGCGACTATCTGTTAGTCTAGTTGTTTCATTGGTTTCGCATTGGTTTCGCATGCTTCAAATTGAAATGCTTCTCGCAAAGAGACATCGTATGGCTCTTTGTCTTTTACTTTTTGTTCAATGAATGCAAAAGTATTGAACGTCCAGTACGGCATAGTAATTCGCCAAAATGATGGGTCGTCATGCGTCTTAGAAAACCTCGGTTGAATATGATTCATAGAAGATGCTGAACAATGCCGTGGGACTGCTGAGTGCTAAGGCACACCAGAACGTCCCTCTCTCCCATCCCTGCTGCAAAATGGAGTGAAGACTGATCGGCGGGTTGATTTGAAGTTCCTCTTCTGCAAAAGCCGCCATAAACTCCGCATGAAACCTTTCGTATTCATCGGAGTTGACTAGATCAATGGCCTGGTTTGTCAGCCAGTAAGGAGGATGAATCATCTGCACTGGATGGGAGCAAGCCCACTCCAAATCGATAAGACACTTGATGTTCCAATTGTCATCGACAAAAACGTTGGTCTAATTTAGATCGGTGAGGTTAAGAAAGAATGGCCCTCGAAGAAACTCGCGACCAAAAAAGCAAGACGAGATGCTTTTCATAACCATCAATGCAGCTGTCTGATAGAAACCATCTTCCAGACTTTTGATCGCGTTAGGCTGATGGCGGAGCCGGCTCTCGTGGAATGCAATAACGTCGTTTAGATAGGAGTCAACGGTATTGTGGGTCACATTTCGCGGTATATCAACCGGAATATGTTCATTTTCCAACTGTTGGATCTCGAGAGTAAGAGGTCGGTTACTCAAGCTCAAATACCCATTTTCATCCAGCACGAAGGAACCGATCTTTGGCAATGGAGTGCGAGCCAAAGTCAATATCCATATTCGAAGATACATACACATAGGACATACTTTTTGGCCATTGGACAATCCAAAGCCATGAAGCTGGGGAGGCGAATCCATGGCCCTGTCTTGGCTTGATTGCAAAGCTGAGTATGTCGACGGTGGCTTGACAATTTGAGTAAGACAAGAGGTCTCGATAAATACTTTGTGTGACGAGAAGGGAAATAGGGGAGTGACAACTGGCACACTGGCGGCTCGGGTGAACAATTCTCCCGGTCGGCCCCTCGTGTGGCTGTGACTTCTTTGATTGTTCTTCATCCTTCCACGCATCCTGTGACACAGTAGATGTCCATCGGCTGCATCTACTGGCCCTCATTGTCATCACAGGAGATACGAGAATATCAAAGCATACCAACAAGAAACTTTGGACAAGAGCTAAGGCACACGAACGGATAAATCTCGGATCCACGGGCTGCGGCTATCCTCCCACCCTCCACTGAGTCAACTAGCCGCAGGGGTTGAGCATGAATTTGCCTCAGGCTTTGCTCTACTTTGGTTTGATTTCTCTAATTACCCTCTACTCCCGCGGCCGAGTTCACATATTATGCTTGTATGGCGAATGATTCGGATTGTTGAAATATGTATCAACACAAACGTAACGCTAGCCATCCCGCAGTACCGGAGCATCGAAGCAGACCTCAAACAGAAAAACTAATCTGACGAAATTGCTCTGACAACTTCCTCAACTTCCTTTCCAATCAACTCCAGAATTCCATCGGCTTCGCGAGACGACATCATATCCAAAGTATAGTCGATCTTCCACAGTAGCGCATCGTCCTGCTCGCTGCACGCCACCTCCAGCATTAGATTGCGACGACACGGCAAGTCGTTCCAGTCCAAGGTGTCAACAGACGTCTTCTCCTCAGTTAACAGCGCAGTCATGGGTCCTTCAGAAGGGCCGATGCGACACGGGGTCAGAATACTATCCCCAGCATCGCCACCGGCATCACGCCTCAACTTGCCCCAGAGGATATTGACAAGCAAATTGAATTGGAGATCGTCACCGGACAATTTCATCATCTGGAGCAGGTCTCGGAGGTCTGTCTGGTCGTGCAGAGCACGTTCGTTCAGGGTTTGCTGGATGTCGCTTATGCTGGCCGATACGGGCCCAGAGAGGGCGTTCTGAACGACAAAAGGTAACGTGTTGACCGTCGGACCGGCCAGTCGATGGATATCGGGAAAGTCGTTGGACCGCCCTGCTGAGAAGAGTCCGAACGTTGGGTGGCCGACTGTTGTGATGCGCGCTAGGCCGCGGCCAACGGCTAGCAAAATGACGGAGGGCATCGAGATGCCTTTCTGGTGACAGAGACTCTCTACCTTGCTCAGTTTTTGCAGGCACAAAAGCTCGGAAGACTTGATATTTCGGAAGTCCTGCTGGTTGTAGGCATTTGATCCTAGAATCGTGGGCTGCCCCATGTTGAGCCTTCGTCGCCAGGACGAATCGGGCTTGCGCTGGGTTTGGCGGACAAACGAGGAGAAGTCAGCCGCAGCTGATAGAGATTTGCCCAGGTAGAGGGCTTCCAGATCTCTCAACAGGATAGGAATTGTCCAAGCGTCATACAAGGCATGATGGAGGGTAAGTAGGAGGGCGTCAGAGTCTGGCGAGTGTATAAGACACAGCCTGGCTGGTGGTATGAACATGGTCGACGGGGAAGCGGCATTCCTGTCGGTAGAATGGTGAACGGAACCCTGAGATGCCTCATTGCACAGTCGCCTCTCCACGTGAACTCTGTCGGCCCGAGGATTCTTAGACACGACTTGCACAACCTCAGCGGAAGACACGGCGGCAAAAGAGGTGCGAAGAATGCTATGTCTCTCCTGAAGCGCGTGCCAAGCATCCTGTATCCGCCTCTCATCAATCCGATCACTGCTGCGGAACGCGAATGTGAACTCCCAAAGTCGTCTGCCACTTTGAAGCCAGCGAGATATGTAGAAAAGCTGACCACTGAGACAAGGTAGAATAGCCTCTACGTCCGCTTCGACCAGAGACAATATAGCCAATGCTTTTTCTCTTGACTCGCGAGTTATCATGGTAGGATGAACAGCGTCGAGTCCCGTATCCGGTAAGGTGATCAGATGCTTCGCAGCAAGTCTCGCAATGCCTCGGACTGTCTTTCCCTGTAGAATATTACTCGCAGAGAGTCTCAATTGAGCCTTCCGGCATCTGGCACTGATGTCAATTGCTAGAATCGAGTCCACTCCAAGTGTGAATACCTCGCTATCATTATGAATCTGCTCAATAGGGGTCCCCGTCACTGTCGCAAGAATCTCCTTGATGACCGTAGCCTGGTGCGCCGCTTCCGGAGAATCGCCAGATTCTTCATCAAGAACCTGCTGGAAGGGAGTAGCAAGGGGCAGGGCACTAAGCCCAGTTGGAAAGCTCAGCACGGGCGCATCGGGGCGGTTGACAATCTCGACCAGCCCTTGAGCAAGCGTCTCGAGCCAGACTTCGAGCTCACCCTTTCCCCCGAAAACATCGCGACAAGACACCCGAATGAACAGAGATTCCGGAGCTTGCTCGAATTCGACATTGAGTTTGTAGTGAGGAGAGACCAGCTCGCGGTCCGACACGTACGGCTGGAATGGCGAGGTACGATCCGGACTTTCCGACTTGTTGAATGTGAAGAGCGCGTCGAACAGTGACGGACTGGGGCTCTGGCTCGTTAAACGCCAGCCTTTCTGGACCTGACCTAACGATACGTGCTGATGCTGTAGAGCATCCGCACAGAAGAGTTGAATAGCCCGCAGGGCCGAGCGAGTGCTCTGCAGAATGGAGTCCAGTGTCAGACGAAAAGGCACCGTGTTGATAAGAGGGCCCACGATTGACCCAGTGGTACCGTCATCCAGTCCACGTCCAGAAACAACATGGCCGAATACCACATCGCGCTGCCCTAACAGAACTGCCAGTGACCTCCCGTAAGCAAACAGGGCGACAGTTTGCAGAGTGACTTCGAGGGAGCTGCATCGATGTAGCAATTCCGCCGCCGGAATCTGCACCTTCACCTCTGCCCATTGCGGTTGGGATGCTGTGGGAGAGTCTATTGGAGCTGGAATACCGGAATATCGATACCCTGCCACAACAGTGGTCCAGAATTGCGTGGATTGTTCCTGAAGACTTGCGACCCGATGAGCAGCCGGCGCGAATGGCTGGACTATCACATCTTGTCCGCGGTAGATCCCCTCCAAGGAGTCAAACATGAGTGGAAGAGAGAACCCGTCATACAGACAGTGATGCATAGTGACGACCATTAGCCGCTGAGCGTTGTGTTGGAGAATGTGAACTTTCCATGGTGAAGTTTGGAAGCTGTCTATCTCGGGATAACCCCCTTCTTCCGAAATTCGACGAATGGCGCTTGCCAACGATTCTTCTTCGATATCATAGAACCACCGTATCGACGGGTGCTTATGAACCGCAGCTAAGAAGCCACCACCTGCCTCGTGCCGATGGAATGTAGTCCGCAGAATATCAGCCTGCTCTGCAAGCTGCTTCCACGCACTCTCCAGATGACCAAGGTTGACGGAGTCGTCTAGAGTGACGATGTGGTGGTGTACATAATCCTTCCCGTTAGTGCTCAAACAATGTGCTATCATGGCCGTCTGCAGCGGCGTGCAGCGGTATGTCTCAACGATTGAGTCGTCTCCATGTAAAAGATTGATGTCCGCATGTGGAACCAATTTAGTCTGTTCACCCTGGCGTACGGAAGGTAAAATCGAAGCGTTCTCCAGATGATTGTACAGTGACCCGACAGACGGATATCTCAAGATATCGCTTGAAGACACTTTGATCTGATGTTCTTGGAAGCAACGGGCGAGCCGGATAGAGATCACCGAGTCGATCCCTAGCGCAAAGAATGAGGAATTCTTGGCAATCTGGTTTTCAGGTAGCCCGGTGATCTGAGAGACGATCTGTCTGATCTTCGTCTCACCTTCTGTCCATTGAATTTCGTCCCATGCAGTTGTCTGTGTCTGTTCTTGTCCCTGAACTAGAGCAGGCTCATCTACGACTGCGTCTCCTGCAGCCACCAGGCTCTGCAACAGGATGACCATTGTGCTGAAAAGGGAAGTAGCTTGCTGGGACAAAGAAGGATCACTGGTGGTTCTCAGCCGCAGAGTGACAGTGTCTGTCTCCGTGTCTGCTCTAACCTCTAGTGCCAGTGGATAGTCTACCTCCATGACACTATCCATTTCCTGCAGCAAGACATCGACTGATGAAGTCTTTACGGCAAGATAAGAGAACATCGTGTTGAATAAAGGGCCTGGAGCGTGGCAATATCGCTGGATAGCACGTAGCGACGTGTGTTGGTGAGGCAAGGACTCCAGACTAGCTCTGGTATGCTCCTTGATCAGATTGACCAGACTCGACGCGCCAGATGACAGGCGGAACCGAGCAGGGACCGTGGTCACAAGGGGAACCAACATGGTTTCGACTGAGTCTACTGGTATCGCTCTACCATTCATGACCCGGCCAAAGATTAGATCACCTTGGCCCAGAAGCTTCGCCAAGGAAATAGCCCATATAGTTTCTATCAACAGCGGGGCAGTTGTCGATATGCGAGAGGCAAGATTAGAGAGCTCAGACAGCTTCAGAGGTAATGTCTCTGTCGTGATACTGTATGTCGTATCGCTCGGGTCATCAACGATGACAACTCCAGGATAGCAGTCTGAGAGATATTGAGACCAGTACTGCTCGGCTTCTTTCTCCGCTGGCCTGACTAAGTATCGATATAAAGGGGTAAGATTAATCGCATCGGTGGATGATTGCCCGGAATAGTGCTGATATAGCCTGTCGAGAAGTATTCCCATACTGGCCCCGTCAAAGATCGAATGATGGATGGACAGCATCAGCCACCCGGAATCATGGTTTTCCGTGGAGCACGCAGCAGTCATGTGCATAGGAGGATGTCTCTCGATGCCCCAAACAATCTTGGATGCAATCTGTGGCTGGCATTTCTCGAAGTGCTGCCGAGCGGCTTGCTCATCCGCTACCTCAATCTCATCCCAAGCTACCTTCGCTACTCGAGGCTTCAAGACCACTTGCACCACCCGGTCATCCATGATGTGGAAACAGGTCCGAAAGATCTCATTCTCCTGTACTACGTCTTCAAATGCCAGTCTGAGTGCTTTTAATGACGCGGTAGGCCGCAACCGAAATAGTGTATGGTTGACGTAGAGTGGAATATCACTGTCAACCGAACTGGAGACAAGGCTTTCCTGGAGAGGTAGGCAAGGTCTGATAATCGCGATTGAGGAATTTGGAATGAGCTTCGGAGAGGCGCGAACGGCACGATCAAGGGTCACCAGCTGCTGCGTAGATTCGAGGAGCTGTCGCCCTGCCTGGGCGCTTCGGCCTGCCTTGTCGCCGTGCCTAGGCAATAGTGCCAGGTGCTCCACAGTTGCACTGCGCATGATGTCGGATGCGGAGCAGATAAAGCCAGCTTCCCGCATCCGAGCTGCTAAATTCAAGGAACTGAGGCTATCCAGCCCCAATTGGAAGATGCTAGTTGTCCTCGTAACGGCATGGCTGTCAGCCGACGTCACGGAGCAAACAAGATCGACAATCCCCTGCTCCTCAATTGTCAACGGTTGATCTTCTGATTCCGGATTTGGTTCTCGCTCTGTGACCGAAGGAGTCTCAGCTCCATGCAGTAGATCGGATGCAGGGATACCCTCGTATAGAGCTACTAGGCGGCGATTGTCTGCTTTGCCCGATATCTGAATGGGTATGAAAGTGACAGGGAGCAAGACACTCGGAACCATGTAAGCTGGGAGCTGCTGACGGCAGCGCTCCAAGACCTGGGGGATCCATTTCTGATACTCCTCCTGCGCAAATACTGGCTGTGCTGTGGCATTTTCAGGACGATCGCTGGCAGGACTTATGAAGGTGACCAACTGAGGCCGCTTCGTGATCGGTGAGGGTGTCACTATCGAAGTGACGTTGACTGGGCGCTCAGCACATCGACGCACTGCGATAGATACTTCTTCCAGCTCCAAACGCTGACCGCGGACCTTTGCTTGACTGTCTCGTCGACCGAGATATTCGACACAATCGTTCGCCATCAAACGAACAATGTCACCGGTGCGGTACATATGTTGCCCGTGAAAGTATGTGAACCCTTTTGCATCCGGCCTACCGTGATATCCCTTAGCGACAAGATCTCCGGTGACGCAGAGCTCTCCTGCCTGGCCTCTTTTCACGTAGTCATTGGTCTCCGGCTCGAGAACATGAAGGGTGATGTTCCCTACCGCTGAGCCAATGTTTCGGACCGTCGAGGAAGCAGTCACCGTGTGGCTTGTCAGCCCGATCGTAACCTCAGTTGGTCCGTATGCGTTGACCAGAGCAATCGATGGCTTTCCGACAAAGCGTTCGATAATTGTCTCCGAGATCTTCTCACCCCCCACCCCGAGATATCGGAGATCGGGCAACTGCTCAGCACTGAGACCCGTGTGCTCGAGGAGGGAAGGCACAAATCCCGCGTGAGATATGCGGCATTGCGTGAGGACCAGGCGGAGGTTATCGAGCAGCATGGTGCGTGGGGCAGTCACCAGACGAAGCCCATGATGCCAGCCCAGAACCATCTCACAGATATGAACATCAAAGGCTCGACTGGCATGCGCCAAGTAACTGCCCGCGCCTCCTAGCTTCAAGGTGTCTGGCACATCCCGACAGATATATTCGGACTGCGCTTCTGTGAAGGCAGACAGATTGCCACGGCTGACCAAAACGCCCTTCGGCAGCCCCGTGGACCCGGACGTGTAGAGAAGATAACAGTTGTCAGACGGGTCTGCCTCAATCACTGCTACTTCGTCAATGCTAGAAAGCTCCTCATGAAGCTCAGGACTGTTGACATCAATGACCTCGCATCCATCCGGAGGTACTACGTCTCCTAACACCTCATGATCCGAGAACAAAGCCGTAGCACCACTATCACTAAGCAGGAGGACTCGCCGCGCTTCGGGCAGGTCTTCCGCAATGGGAATGTAGCAGTTCCCACTCTTCCAGATCGCCAAGACTATTGCGTACGTGATGAAGGAGCGACCAAGACAGACGCCAATCATCAAATTGCGCCAGCCTCGGCGGACGAGCCACGTTGCAATCCGGTCAGAAGTCTGTGCCAGCTCGCCATAAGTCCACATTCGAGACTGAATTCCGTCTTCACTGACTGACTCTATGACTTCAACGGCTGGCCAGGTTGGATTCGACTTCGCCCAGTGTTCTACCCAATGAAATGGAGATAGACTGGGTGCTTGCTTCAGTTGCTCGCTGACCACAGGTGCGTGCATGGAGAGAAGGTATCTGGGAAAGGTCCGAGTGAGGTCGTGAATCTGCTCTGTCGGATTGCCGATCATTACAGTGATCAAAGCATCAATCTGCTGTAACACGAGGTCTACATGATGAGTGTCCATCAAGTCACCTCGAACTGAGAGCGTGCATGACAGATTGTCTTTCCCAGAGCATTGGACGCTCAATGAGATTGGTGAGCTATCGATGTTAAACTGCGCAGAGTGTTTTTCTCCTGGCTCGGCATGAGTATTCCCCGTGTAATGTGCATTGAACGGGGCCTGTTGAGGAGGACATTGCAGGATCTCTCGCATCAACCCGAGTGGCACTTCTTTCAGTGCAACTGCACTTGACATGAAGCCATCAATTTGACGTAATAAGTCTGTCGCCGTCATTTGAGGATCGACGACAATCGGAACAGGTACAGTGGAATCCGAAGTCAGGGCAGCCGAATCAGCGGTGGATGAGGTGACGTCTCCGAGAATCACTCTATCCAGCTCAAGGTATTCGGACAGGATCGTCGCAAATGCGCCTTGGAAAATCGTGTCAATTGACTTGAGGCCGTACTGAGCCGCGAAATCCTCAAATTTCTTCCTGGACGCCTCCAGAGTGAGGGTTCGTGACACGGTTGGTGGATAGTCCGGCTCCAGAACCATGCGCACGCAAGAGAGTGTTGGGAATTGTCTTTCGCAGACTCCGACGAAACCCTCGAGATGCTTTTGCCAAAATTGAGAAGGATCGTTTTGCTTGTCATTGCACGGCAGCAATGACTCCAACTGTTGCACCAATGCCTGCAGACCTTTGCCCTGGACCGACCGTGATTTATATATCAACCTGGCTTCGGAGGATGCGACATCGACGCATAAATTTAATGGGATCTAGAGGACGCAAGGAAATGGTCAGCAGTCGCACTGCGTGGGACAGTCATGGCTATACTCTAACTCAGTAACTCATACATTATTCTCTGACCTCACTGGCATCTTTCCGCCATGGACGAGACACAGCCCGAACTCGACCCTCTTCATAAGCACGTTGGCGTCTAAGACCGGAACATGAAAGACACCCCATTCGAGCGCCAAACTGTACTCCATGCATTGTGCAATGACCAGTATGCGTTCAGCCTCGCAGTCTTCTGCTCGTGCACTGACCCAGAAGGCAACCTGTGTCTGGCCGGTTGCATGCATCACCCAGCGCGCATATCCCTCCACCAGGGCATCGACATTGGCTGAACTCGTGAGGTATCTCAGTTGCTTCACATCATATACAGCATTTTCCGTAGTCTGTTCATCCGATGACTTTAAAGGTTGCTCGGGAGCTAGAGTGGTCGGCACAGGAGTGTCCCCCAGCCCGTTAGTTGGACGCAAGAGATGCCCCCAGAGTTTGAGGACTGGTACCATCATGATTTCGAGTCTTTGGGTCTAACGAGCATTGACTGCGTGCTGGTCTGTGGTTGCACACCATATCAGCTCTATCCTGTTCAGCGCGGATAACGAGCGTCTCCCGTCTCTCTATTTATCCGTATTTGTCCACTGTTCTTTCTCTGTTTCACTGCTACATGAGCCCCCCCTCCCTCCTCCTGCCTTCCCCCTCGGATTATTCACACACCCGGGCGAGAACTACCAACCAGTACAGAACAACGACCTATCCTAATCCAGCAACCATAAAACCGGCCGACCCCACGCAGTGACGCTTTACAACTGCGTATGTCTGTCATGAATGATGGTAATTTTCAACCTGGTAATTCCCGCAGCCTGCCAAGATGATCCTACAGACAGGGGCAAATGAGACATTGCTTCTTGGCGAGACATGTCCCCCCTCTTGGCAGCACGGCCTCTAGCGCTTTCCGCGCTTGCTCGTATCGTCAGCTTGCTGAGGAGATCATCACTCGATCAGTTCTCGGCATATGAATATGTTCTCGGTGAGGTCCACGGGTCTACGCTACTGTGTTGTACCGATCATGCCGGGACAGTAAGCGGCTGTGGTGGTGGATGCTGGCCTACTTGTAATCTGCATGAGCAGTGAATACATCCTATATTGTTTCGACTCGAAGACTGAAGTACAGAGAATCAAGGAACGACCACCACGACACTGGCATGCAACCCTCACACAGATCATATCCCGAGCAACCCCAATTACCCATGTCAGCGTTGCAAGAAGCCGGTACCGGCGATTATCAGATTGATAAGGAAGGCTTGATTTACGCCGACTGGCTTGTGATCGGTGGGATATGGTTCGACAGGGCGGGGCCAACGGGTGTGGAAAACTCTGCTTACACGCTAGGGAAAATGCACATGATGGGAGTCCGCTTAGCTAACCCAAGATATCCACACAGCAAAGCTCGTCGGGTTGGCCCTCTCAGCTTGTGGCACCGTAGGATGTGTCTTGCTGGATTGGGCTACTGGTCAAGTCCTGCGTCATAATCCGCCCGGTGTTGACTTTCGGGGGGCGGTAAAATAAATTGAGGTTGCATGCCAAGGATCTGATTACCAATTCCTAGCAGAATTGAGTTCAGGGTCTCACTAAAGGGGGTTGCGAGTGCATGCCAAGAAGCAAAGGGGCCAATGGCGGGCGATTATCAGAACAGGGGTTCAGTTGAGATGCGATTATCAGATTAGATGGCGGTCGGTGCGTGGGTCCCGAGCGGCTGCGCGAGAGCTGATACGTCAATCGTGAGAAACAGGGTCTATGCTGTTGCTTGTTACCACCGGACCGTAATTTTCAGATACGAGATACCAGCCATACCGCAGTGGGAGTCGTACGACCCTTCCCAACGCCGAGGAGTGAAAGCATTGCACTATCAGATTTTAGTCTCGTTCGGGATCAATAGCGCCCCCAAGCCGAGTTACGCCAGCGAGGAGGAAAAATTCTGTTGCCACCCATGTGAGACGCATGTTCCACGGAAGGCTGTCTGCCGGTGCTGTCCTGTCGATACCTTTTTCAGTTGCTTCGACGCGTGTCTTAAACTGCGCTCCTCTCGATCGCAACATTTGGCAAAGATCTGCTCTTCCTTTGGACATCGTGTCGGTTGACTACACAAACTAGCCATGGCAAGTCGTGCTTCGCTCGATCGTACTCGAGTCCATCAGACTTCATCCGCAGACCAAGTGACTGCCTCCGACCCTGAGAAGCACGAACCCCCGACCTCGAATAACAAGGAAGCTCAAGGGCAAGTCAACGGGGCCATGGAGGACGGAGCAACAGGCCTCAACAAGGTCGAGGCCGCAGCTTCCGTCTGGACCAAGAAGACATTGCTGGTGATCTACGCCTGGTTCGTTACCCTGCCTGTCCCTCAGTCCCTGCAACAAAAAGAAAACAGGCTAACAAATGTCCCCTCATCCCAGGATCTGGGTCTGTTTCTTCATGCTCGCCTTCCACTCCTCGATCGGCCTCAACGTCTTGGTGTACGCATACGCGAACTTCAACACCGCCCCGGAGATCTCGACGGCCGCGATCCTCGCGACCGTCGTCGGCGGCGTGATGAAGCTACCGGTCGCCAAGATTCTGAACGTCTGGGGCCGCGCGGAAGCCCTCCTCATCTTCACATGCCTCTTCGTGCTGGGGATCATCGTCCTGGCCGCCTGCACGGGGCCCAGCGGGTTCGCCGCCGGCTACGTGCTGTACTGGGTGAGCTACAACGCCCTGTACCTGATCCTGGATGTATTCATGGCCGACACCTCGGGGCTGCGCAACCGGGCGTTCGCGTTCGGGTTCGCCAACACGCCCTTCATCTGCACGGCGTTCACCGGCCCGCTCGCCGCGCAGTCGTTCCTGTCGATGACCTCGTGGCGCTGGGCCTACGGCGCCTTCGCCATCATCTTCCCCTGCGTGTTCCTGCCCCTGGCGGTGGTCTTCAAGTTCCACGAGCGCAAGGCCAAACAACTGGGCATCTACACCCCCCGCCAGAGCAACCGCACCTGGCCCCAGTCCGTGCTGCATTACATCCACGAGTTCGACGGTACGCCACTGCCCCCTGCCCCCTTCCCCCTCACCCCAGCCATCCCCTCCCGCCTAAACCCACCCCCGCAACTAACTAACCCTCAACCCCCCAGTCCCCGGCGCCCTCATCCTAATCGCCGCATTCATCCTCCTCCTCCTCCCCTTCAGCCTCACCGTCTACGGCCGGGCGCAATACAGCTCAGCGACCTTCATCGCGATGCTCAGCATCGGCTTCATGCTCCTCCTCGCCTTCGCCGTCTGGGAGCGGCTGTACGCCCGCCGCGCGTTCATCCGGTACGAGCTCCTGCGGCAGCGCACCGTGCTGGGCGCGTGCCTGCTGTCCGCGTTCCTGAACCTCGGCTACGCGGCGTGGGACCTGTACTTCCTGAACTTCGCGATGGTGGTGCACGACCTGACGCCGGCGGCGGGCGGGTACATGAACCAGATCTACAACATCGGGTCGTGCTTCTGGGCCCCGCTGTTCGGGCTGTACATCCGCCGCACCCGCCGGTTCCGGGCCGCGTGCCTGTACTTCGGCCTCCCGCTGATGCTCCTGGGATCCGGGCTGATGGTCTACTTCCGCGGCGAGCACCATCCCATCGGGTATGTGGTGATGTGTCAGATCTTCATTGCGGCTGCGGGCGGTACGCTGGTGATTGGCCAGGATATGGCGGTCATGGCGGTCGCGGATCACGATGGCGTGCCGATGATGCTGTCGGTGCTGGGGCTGTTTGCCAGTTTGGGCGGCGCCGCCGGGAATACCGTCGGGTCGGCGGTGTATACCAATGTCTTTCCGGACCGGCTGCGGCAGGCGTTGCCGGCGGCGGCCCAGGAGGATTGGGCCGATATCTATCTCGGTGGGTATCTGGCCCAGATGGCCTACCCCGTGGGCTCGGAGGTGCGCACGGCCATCAACTTTGCCTGGGGCGAGAGTCAGAAGTATAGCTGTATTGCCACCACGGCGGTGCTGGCGCTCGGGTTCCCGTGTATTCTGATCTGGAAGAATGTGAGCGTCGATCAGAGGCAGAATAAGGGGGTGATGCTGTAGGTTTGGGGAGAGTATGTAGGTGATGAAGGTTGCGAGAGCGAGGGGGTAATTATCCTACCAGGTTATTATTGTGCTGGATCCTGTGATTTAATCTCGTGATGTTGCACTTGATCGGTGCCGGTTAATAGAGGTGGCTTTTTTATATTCCGTACAGATATTTTAATATTTACCAAGTTCTCCACTCTAAAAGATTCACACAAGTCAACCTCCACCGCCTACGACACCTCTAAGTCACATATCCAACGACTGATGCACCACACTCTCCCGATAAACTGCACTCCGCTCCACCAACTCCGCATGCGTCCCCTGCACCGTACACCGACCCTCCTCAATCAGGAAAATCCGATCCGCCCGATAAATCGTGCGCAGTCGGTGCGCGATCGCCACGATCGTCGTCTTCCCCACGAACCCCTGCAGCGCCTCCTGGATCTTCCTCTCCGACTCCCCGTCCAACGCACTCGTCGACTCATCCAGGAGCAACAGGCGGGGCTTGCGTAGGAACGCCCGTGCGATCGCCAGCCGCTGCCGCTGACCGCCCGAGAACTGCTTTCCGTTGTGCGTGCAAATCGTCTCGTACGTGTCCGGCAATTCCATGATCACGTCGTGGATCTGGGCGAGTTTACACGCGGCCTCGATCTCGGACTGCGTGGGTGTGTCGGCGGGCCGAGCTCCGAGCGCGATGTTGAAAGCGACGCTGCCTTCGAAGAGCACACTCTCCTGCGGGACGAGGGCGATCTCGTCGCGGAAGTCCGTGGAACGGACGCGGGTGATGTCCTGATTGTCGATGTAGATGGCACCCGAGGATGGGTAGTAGAAGCGTTCCAGCATCGCCAGGATGGTGGACTTGCCTGAGCCACTGGGGCCGACGAGGGCGTAGAATCCACCTGGAGCCAAGGTGAGGCTGAGGTCGCGGAGGACGGGGAGGTCCGGCGAGGTAGGGTACGAGAACTGCACGTGACGCAGCTCGGCGCCAATGGGGGTAGGTGAAGGCGTCGATTTGGAGGAAGGCATACAGGCTGGGTTGGCTTCGATATCGACGTCAGACTTCTCCCCGCACGGAATTATCTCTTTATGCCTGTCCGTTTGGGCTTCTTTCTCTGCGGAGTCGGTGTTCACCAAGTCCACAATGCGAGAAGCAGCCTTGCCAGCTTTGGAGAGGTCCGGTGCAAGGGCGAGCATCTGGCCGCAAGATTGAGTGCTGAAGAGTAGCGCGGGCAGGACAATGAAGAACTGCGTTTGAGAGTAGAGACCCGAGGCAATCTGCTTGGAGCCCCACCAGTAAGCGAGAGCGCTGATCAGGTTGCTGACGCTGAAGGCAGTGGCCAGCCAAAAGTTGCCCCAGGCGATGGCCTTCTTGGTCTTCCTGTATGGGCCCTGGATTGCATGGATGAACTCCCGGTAAAGCTGCCTTTCCAGGGAGAATCCAGCCACGAAACGCAGATTTTCCAGCGCCTCGACGGTGATCTCAGTCACCCGCGAGAATGCTTTCTTGTGCCGCTCGGCAAATTGATTCTGTACGCGGAGCTTCATGACCCCGGCTGCCAAGAGGACAGGAATGGTAGGCAGCAGAACAATGGAGATCTTCCACGCAACGATGAACGAGATAATAATCCCGGCAAACAAATTGACAGTTGTTGCCAGCAGAAGACCAATTGTTGTTCCAGTCAGGCCGCTGATAGCTGAAGCATCGCCGGTGAGGTAGGAGATCAGCGTCCCTGGACTGCGTCCATCTGTGCCATGCCAGGTGATAGTCTGGGCGAGCAAGGAGCGGAAGGACGCAACGCGGATGCGATAGAGTGTTTGATCTGCAGCCCACCCATAGGCACAGCCGCCGATGATGTTGGCAAAGAACTCTACGAGTCCGACGATGAAGAACATGAGGCCGAAGAAACTTCCGCTGTGTCGGATGCTGGGAGTGCCTTTACATGGACTGAGCGCTCCCAGCGTATTGCCGAATAGAACCGCGTTTGAGCTATAGCTAGCACCAATAATGACCGACATACCCAGCCCTAGTATGATCAGAAGAAGATTAGGACGGATAAAAGAGAAACAGATCTTCAAAGTTAGGCGCTTCGAGTGGGGGGTGTCCTCTTGCTGTGCTATTGACGTCTGTTCCACGGTCGCATCGATCTTATCTTTCTCGTGGATGTTGTCTTTCTCAGTGACAGGCACAAGCTCGGTGGGAATGCCAGGTGTATCATTCATGCTGCCGGCGGCCGTCATAAGCTCTTGCGCCTCCCCTTGATCCAACTTTTGCTGTGCAATCATCGCTGCATACCTACCACCCCGGTCTATTAACTCCTGCGGAGATCCATACTCAGCCACTCGTCCCTTCTCGATGACGATGATCTGATCAGCGTCCTTGACCGTTGCCAGACGGTGCGCGATAGAGACTATCGTCGTAGTCCCCGACACCTTGAGCAAGGCCTCATGGATCAAGCGTTCACTGATAGAATCAAGTGCAGCGGTTGCCTCATCAAGTACAAGTAACTTGGGCTCACGAACAAGTGCGGTCGCAAGAGCAATGCGCTGCCGTTGACCACCGCTCAACTGCCCCCCAGCAGTCCCAACACTCGTCGCTATTCCAAAGGCTTGGGCTTCAATGAATGAAAGTGCATTCGCTTTATCGGCAGCTTCTTTCGCCCGACGAACAATTTCGGCAATCCTAGGATCGCAAGCAGCGAGAGCGTCTTTTTCCGGAGTCCCCGCTTGAATCTGCTCCACGGCAGCCGACAAACTCATATCCAGAATCACCTCCGTCAAACCTTCGTGCGCTGTAGACCCGACGAGCCCGTAAGCAATGTTCTCCAGGATCGACCGATCGAAGAGTTGGGACTCTTGCTGAACAAAACCCAACTGCCCGCGCAGGCTTGCCACGTTCACCGCACGGATATCTTGACTCCCGATCCGGACTACCCCGGAGCATGGATCATAGAACCGCTCCAGAAGTGCCACGATGGTGGACTTGCCTCCACCTGACGGACCCACGATGGCAGTGTGTTTCTTTGGCGGAATGTAACAATTAACCCCTTACAGAACGCGGTTCGAAGGACGTGCGGGATATGTAAAGTTCACATCTTCGAAAACAATCTCCTGATCAGCGAGGTCTACGCTCTGTTCCCACGTCTCTGCAGTGCCATCGATTTGAGAGTCACGGTTGATGACCTCCAACAGCCGTTCGGATGCACTTGCGGCGGCGCTGAACACATGCATGTACGGAGAGACTTGACTCAATATGAAGGAGGCTGTAAGACATCTGTCAGCATGCCAGAGCTAGACCAATGCAAGGTTCCCAAATGCCAATCGCAGATAATTAAAGGAAGAGGGAAGGAAAGAAAACTAACCATCGATGAGAATAAAGATCACCGTGTACACGGCCCCAAGGGAGACCCCAGACCCAATACCATCAATATAGTCCGCAATCAGGTGCGCACCCTTCCAATACGCCAGAGCATTGGAGGAATACACGATAAAGAACAAAAAGCCCATCTGGGCCGCATGCACTGCCGCCTTCTTCAACGCATCCTTGCGCGCGTTGTAGAGATTCGATGAGAACAACTCCTCCAGGCGCCGATGGGCATTGAAAGCATGCACGATGCGGGGATGCGACAGGCTGGAAGAGGCAATGGAGGTCGCCCGATCGACATGTTTCCCGACGCGGTTGCCATACCGCGAGGTAAAGTGGCCTCCCACCAGCGACATGGCAAAGAAGCACGGCACGATGGCGATCAGGATCCCCGCCACAACGGGCACTTTGATGAAGGCCACGATGTACGCGGTGATGAAATACGACAGCGTCGCGATGTATATGCCCACCTTCTCCGAGGTCCCCGACTGCACCGTCTCGATGTCGCTCACCAGCCGCGAGATGACCTGTCCCGAGGGTAGGCTGTCATGGAACGCGGCTTCCTGGCGGATCAGGCTGCGGAAGTACCCCTTGCGGTAGCGACGGGCCAAACGCTCGCTGACCAGCGCCCAGCAGGCGGCGTAGATGTAGATGGCGGCGAAGTTGAAGATGGTGATGTAGATCAGATAGAGAACTTTCGTCCGGACGGAGGACGGGTCGTACGTGGTCGCGGAGCAGGAGACATCGTTGAGCTCGTTGATGAGCTGGCCGAGCACGATTCCCAGCAGAGGCTCGGGGATGCCGGCTGCGATGGCGAAGAAGGTGCCGACGAGTATGAGGGCCAGGTCGACGCGGGTGTAGTCGAGCGAGAACAGCAGACGGATGAAGCTAAAGGCAGTCTTGATGTCCTTTGGCTTTGGGATGCATCGCGACACCAGGAGGATCTATCTCGGTCAGTGGTTCGTGTAGAGATGAAGAGGTTGAAGCCTTACGGCCTTCTGAGCGTGGCTTGCGCTCTTGACAGCTCCTTCCGTCTGATCGCTCTTCGAAGGCTCTGATGCTGACATTGTGAAGCAACAACACCCTGGACGGCAGCGGCGCAGTGACTGTGAAACCTCGAGGGAAGCAGGTATAGAACACCGTTGACCTCGATTTCGGCAATCACTCGACCGACAACACTTCGGCCACGCCGACTAGGGTCAGTCGGCAGGATTGGCATTCTTTACGTAAAACAAAAGCTAAGAGAATGGTCTCTCATGCCTAGATTGATTATCAGATCATCAGATAAGAGGGTCTCCGCGGATTACGGTATCATACCCAATACAGCTGTAACCCCCATACACGGTATTAATTTCCGCCCCCGTTTTGCAAATATACATAGCATTCACTCACTGTTCCTGTGCCCACCAGCAGCCGCTGGAAGATTGTCACCTTCCTGATTGAACATAGTTTCTTATAGGTAGGCTTCTATGGGAGGCTCCAGTGCAGGCACCTCAGACTAGTCCTTCGTGTCCCATCAATGTGTCTCAGACCCTGTCTGGGCATCATGTGATCTGTGATGTTCCTTCCGACGCTCAACAAGTACCTCCATACCTACTCTCAAGGAATCGAATTTTGATTTGTTGCCTGAGGGACCCAATGGTGCGAGCGTTTTCATTTCAGTTATAGGTCCGATGCTTGTGAGAACACAAGCCCAACATGTTCTGACTGACCCCTTCACACTCGCAGGTATGCCGAAAAGAAAATGGCATTATCAAAACAGAGCTGTGCCAACCAGATCCGTCCAGCTCGGAGCCGATCATTCCGGAATTATTACCTAGTCGAGATCAATTGTCTCACTCGGCGGCGGGGAGTTCTCGCGACAACAAATTGGCTTCAACTTTCAAACCAAGGGCCATTGAGGGGGGCCAACGTAGGAGCGTAGCGAAATAGACACCTCAAGCGAACAGTGGCAACATACTTACTCTCTTCAATAACATCAACCCTATGCCAAGTATTGGCATCCATCTGCGCGATTTTCCATAGCTTTACATGCAAAAAGAACAAAAAAACCAAAAAAAAAGAAACATTCTGTATACTACTTACAACACAGCGCCCGGACACCCTCCCACGATGTAACATCGACCCGGATATTGACACTTGGCAGGAGGGGTTTCATTCACCGGGATTTCGCCGGTCGTCACAGCGAAGCCCCCCTACACCGTGAGGCAAGCTGGACCGAGTCTGTTAGGTGGTAAGACTAGGTAGGTACCTTCCCAGCAGGTTTGAGAATTGCAAGCCTTCCAGGTCATTGACCTCGCGCGTTGCATGCACGGATTCCTCCCGAATCAACAACCCGGGTTCGCCCTCGCCCCCACCTTTTGATCGTGAGAGTGAGTCATCCGTGAGCGTAGGCGAGACATCGACCTGCGAGCATATCTCGACGGTTCTGCAAATGATAGGAGTCTGTTGGGTCCGATTGACGGAGGAGGATGGAGCGGCATGATCGCAATCTATTGACCATAGACTTCCAAATGATAAGATATGACAACCGGCCGGCTGCCTACGGTCTCGAGGGCTCTGAGCATTGCATGCTACCGCTGCTCATATTGCTAGAAGATTTCCAAGCTAAATCTTGGCGGCTGTGGGGACGGTGAAGGAAGATTGACCGCCGTGGTCAACGGCAAAATCACTTTCACGATTGTTTGGTGAAGGAAACGCTGAGGGAGATCTTAGTGATTGATAGGCTAACTGGATCATGTTGATCTGTTGAGTCTGGGTATTCAGCATCCCGACAAACGATGATGTACCACCAACCTATTGGCCCCAGTAAGCTTCCCTTTTTCTTCATCCTTTTTCTGCTGCTGAAGACAGGGGAATATTAGACTGATACTTGTTTGAAGAGGCCGCGCCTCAGGGAAAACTTGTCAAGACATTTGTTTCATGACACACAGAGCAAGTGTCGAGTAGAGAGGTTATTTAAACTCGTGGGATGAGCCACGGTCTATAGTCTGCAAGTAGTTCGCTCTTGAATCGGTGTGAAAGACTATGTAGGCTGTCGAGATCTGGATACGGATCCTCTTTATAACGAGTCTGTACAGACTTGATTACAGCCAGGATACTAGTAGGCTGGTGCCCTCTTCGAATCCAGTCCCATGGAATGCTGACTCCTCATACAGAGTGCATAAATTGGTTTTCTCAAAAGGCTCCCACGAAATATATCTCAATCTAAGCCCCAATGCTACAAGTATTCCAAATGCACATTCCAAGCCAAGAGAAAGGAGGAAACAGCTCTAAGCCAGTATCCCTCCTAATAACGCACTCCCTTCCACTCAGGCAACCTTAATGCACACCTTCCCGATCTGCGCACCAGAGGCAGCATACTTGTAGGCCTCCACGACGGCCTTCTCATTGAAATCAAAGACCTTATCCACGGGCAGCCGGAGACCCCGCGTCGCCACGAAGCGCGTCACCTCCTGGAGCAGCTGCGTGGAGCCGACGGTGATACCGCGGACGACGGCGCCCTTGGACAGGGCAAGAGCCGCGACGTCCGGCATCTTGGCCTGGTCGGCTTGCGACAGGAAGCCGATCACCGAGATGTTGCCGCCCATCTTGACGGCATTGAGGGACTCGCCGATCGTGCCCGATCCGCCGTTCTCGAAGATGTAGTCGACCCCCTGGCCCTGGGTCAGGCGGAGAACCTCCTTGGACCACTCGGGGTGGGTCTTGTAGTTGACCACATTCGTCCACGCCGTAGTCGGCCTGAACGCGCTTCAGCTTCTCGTCGCTGGAGGAGGTGATGATGGTGCGGGCGCCGGCCGCCTTGGCCAGGATCAGGCCGGTGATGGAGACGCCGCCGGTTCCTAGGTTGATGTTAGATAGATTCGTTGGTTTTGTACTGAGAAGCGGTTGGGGAAGAAACGGAGTGAAAGGTAACGGAAATGGATGGGAAAGAATGAACATACCCTGAAACAGAACAGTCTGGCCGGGACGAAGGGGAATATTCCCATATAGCGCATTCCACGCAGTCACACCCGTGCAGACCAGAGTCGACCATTCGCAGAAGGACAAGGCGGATTCCTTGGGGACCTGCACCGCCGAGGCAGCCGGGATGCAGACGTATTCGCGAAGCACACCGTCAATCGGACCACCCTGACCGTTCTCCCAGTTCAATTGGGGCCGAAGAGGTTGGTGATATCGAAAGTACCAATCACGTGGTCACCAACGGTAACGTTCTTCACGCCTTCACCGACCTTCACCACGACGCCAGCGGCGTCCGAGCAAGGAACCACATTGTCCTTGACGGGGAAGGGGTAGAGCGAGGTGGCGACGCCGATGTCTCGGTAGTTTAGGGATACGCCGTGCACCCTGACCAGAACCTCGTACTTGGTCGGCTCGGGCACGGACTCCTGGAACTCCTTCAGGTTCTCGACCGAGTTCCGAGGGCCGTTGATGCGGATGACTCTTTGGCTGGGCATGATTCTTGAGGGTCGACGTTGACTATCGGGAACCGGCTGGTGGATGTTGGTGGTTGGTAGTTAAAGATCTGACTCAAGCGTGAACTGGAAAGGGCAAACTGAACATGGAAGTCGGTCAAGGCAGGAGCTCCTGGCAAGCTTTTATGTCCCGGTTCTTCTACATGGAGAGAAGTTCTCACCTTGGTAATGCGGTGTGTGGGGAAAAAATGGTTCATGAGATAATTCAGGTGCAGCTCAGTTTGCAGAAAGTAACGTCATGACCTTCAACGGCGGCGTTGGAGAGTCGAGTGTTGGGGAAAGCTTATCCCCAAACTGATGCAACCTGCTTCTCCAAATTTGGAGATCCGGCGGGGGCAACTTTACCAATCCCAGCCAGCCCTTGGCGTGTCAAATCTTCGGCCCGGGCGGGGCTACGACGGTGCCATCATTTGTAAGCAAAACGTCTTGGAGATTTGAGAGACGCCTCCTAGTACAAGTATTGGGTAGGAATTGTGATCGATTGTTTCGTTGTGTTTCTGATTCGGTAGGGGGTTGCAAACAATCACGTGATGATGATCCGACGATTCAGTTGGAGAATGAAATCATATGCGTACGATGGATAGGGCCGGGAAGGGCCTCGTGGAGAGGACTGGAATCCGGAATAAGGATCAAACATCAATGATGATCCGCTAACCGGTGAATTTGAGTACGATCTTTGTTAGAGTAAATACGTGAGTGTAATGGACACATATATCTACCGGCGAGGACTGGACGTTTCTAAAGAATTTATCATATAACTTTGAATCACTTGCTGAAGCTAGGGAAGTATAAACTTCTGTTCGTAGGATAAAGTTTGTCCTTATCGTGGTAAACAATGAGGATGTATGACCCCACAGAATGGTTAACCTGTTATATTGAGCTTCTACTGTACATAGATGTATGTACAAACTTCTGCCATGTGCAAATTGAGAGCCATGAGTGTGTGGAGGATGTTGATGTTGGCACAAGCTGATCTACAGTACATAACGAACCCAACAATCACGGCATTACAGGCTGAAGCGTATATAGAATGTATGTGCTCCAGCCCTTGCACAAGCAACCAGAGAACAAATACATTGGAGAAGTTCCAAACATCAAACGGTCCCGAATTTCAGGCTATCAAATCGGAGACCCAGCCTCCGATCTCAGCCACAACAACGTCGCCTCCACATCCAACATACGCTCGAGATCGGAGAAGATATCCGCCTCCATGGGCGTCCAGCCCAGCATCTCGCGGGCGCGGCGCGCGACCCCCAAACTCGTGGAACTCACATCCATCTGGCCGCCATACCAGAACCGCTGCACGACATGATTGGGCAGATCCTCGGCTTCCGGCGAGTCCAGCCACCCCCTCTGGTACCCCAACTCCGCCAGTCGCCGGATGACATCCCCCCACGCAAACTCGCCATTCTCCGCAAAATAGTACCCGTGCTCGTTCCACAGCTCCCTTGGGGAGTGCTCGTCCATCGCCGCCTCCGTCAGTAACAGGTACATCCGCGCAATGTCCTGCGTGTGCACCATGTGCCATCGGTTCTCATTCCCGTGGATGGTGAACGCCCTCCGGCGGCGGAGCATCACGTTGAGCAACCGGGGCACCTGGATGGAGCGCGTGAAGCCGGGGAAGCGCGAGGGCCCGTAGACGGTCGGCGGGCAGACGATGGCGGTGCGGATCTGGGGGTGTCCGCGGCCGCGCAGGATGGCCATGTCGACGTCGCGATGCGCCGCCCAGTTGGGCAGCACGTGGTCGTAGCCGGTGGGCTCGGGATCGGCGGCGGATGGCAGACTGGTCAGCTCAGCGACGCCCTCGAGGTCATGGTAGTAGCGCGGAATCAGCTGGCCCCAGTTCGAGGGCTGGGCCTCCATCTCCCAGGCGATGATCTTGGCGCCGGAGGTGTGAATTACCGTGCCCTGCTCTTTACGCCGGGCCAGACCTCGGATGATGGCTTCTGCAGCGGGGAGGTGGTCGCAGTTGGCGAAATCTGATCACAGTCAATGATTCTGTACGTAGAGTGCACTGCACATGTCCCCTGCGATGCATACTTAGGACAACATCAGATTTGCTGCTCTCCTGCTCTAGCAGGTCGACGTCATCCAGCGACCCTGGGATAATCTCAACGGTTGGATAGTTAGTTCGGAGCAAACTGATCTTGCGGACGTCCCGGACAAGAACGACGATCTCCCAGTCCGGATGTTTTTCCACGAGTATGTGTAGGAAATCGCCTCCGATGAGGCCAGTTGCGCCGGTGCTGATGCTCAATTAGTTGTTGTTGTCTGGCTTGGGTCTGTAGTGGGTTTGCGTACATGAAGATCCTCAGAGCCATACTTGCAGGCTGACTGAAATGTCGGCGTGAGTTAGTGGATCAGGCCAACGCGTGTCAATGTCAATGTCCCTCACATCAGAATTAGAAGTCACTCGCCCGGACGCGGGGCACAATCACGGATTTAAGAAATGAATCGACTACATCGAATCATGCTATCTTTCCCTGCTTACAAAACATGATTGAGTTGTCCATGAGTGGGGACGGGAGTTCCCCAAACTTGGAGATCGCCCCATTTTGGAGAAGCTCGCGGCACGCGGCACGATTGAGGAGTAGGGCGCCATCCACTGCTTCTCCTTTCTTTACAATATGGCATTTTTTATCAGGGTAGTCTCACTTTGGGGCACTCGCGCGCCTGACCTCTCTGTCCTTCTCTCGCATGAGCGTTCCTGCTCTCTTCCACGGACGTCGTATTACAAAGCACTGGTCCAGAGACATAGCGTTCAATACAGAGAACAAGTTAACCAGAAACTGCTTCGCATAAAAGTCATCGAGAACGGAGCTCAACAAGTGTGAACGAGGCATCCAATTCTTAATCATAGTTGCTAGTCGAGCTGAGCTGGAGTCTTGGACAATTTCCAAGACGGTCAGACGCTTGGTACGTGTAAGTAGGCATGTACATGATATTCCAGCAAAACACAATCTGACACTCCCGGAGGTTATTTCCTTTACTCGTCTCTCCTTCCCCCCCCCCCCCCCCACCCTGTTCCAGTACTTATACCAGATGTTAAGTCCAAATTGCCTGATCATATGACTGTCTTCGGTGATTGGATTGTTCTGCTCGGTAGTAGAGCGAATGGCGACCGATCTTCCGAGACAACAGATTTCACTACAAAATCGTCAATAATCGCAAGAAAAGGGCAGCGAGAACAGGCAGAGGATTCATACACTTTGCCACTTGCCGGATCCTAAATGATCTTGTCCGGGTCACCCTCCGCATACTCCTGCCCGTGTAGGCGCAGCGCTCTGTAGAAAGCCAGCCAGCAATCAAAATAGCAGAAGTGCAGGCGAAAGGCCCGTTCTCACTCAACTAGTTCCACAACTCGTGCCCTGGTCGCATCAGTCTGCGATTGCCCCCGGAGGTCGTCGATGTAAAATGACAGGGGAAAGCCCGGCAGCCGGGTCATAGCAATGAGGTTCATCCGCCCGCCCGGGTTCTCGAACTCCGGGCTCTGGACGGTGCATTCCCAGTTAAGGAGCTGAGGGAACCCGTTCACTCCCCGTGCTGCCTCTAATGCTTGCACTTCCCATGTGAACCCGGGTTGAGCGATGCCGCTGAAGAGCCTGCTGGCCTCGCAGCCACGCCTGAGGACTGGGTGCTGGCTATATGTACCAGAGAGTAGAGATGCTGGTTAGTAGCTTTCATCAGAAGTAGACAAATCTGAACAGCATGAGGCAAGGGCTTACTGGATGAAGAATTTGACCACGACTTGCTGCTGGTCATCGAGCTTTGTGGCATGGAAGACAGCCCGGCGCTCGATGTAAGGGCGGTATACTTTCTCGGAAACGAGTCGGTTCAGTAAGTACCTGCCTGTCCCGACTTGAAGGTTTCTTCCTTCGAATTTGTTCAGGGTGGCTTCTGCAAGAACTGGATAGTCCGGTGGTTCATCTTGGGCAATGTCGGTCATGGTTTGGAGGAGGAAAGGAGTTAAGTGTTCAAGTTGATGAAAATGGTGGGATTGATGTCAATCCTACTGCAAGGGATGTTTGGTAGGCGCGGGAGATGGCGACATCATGTGGTCGTGGCGGGCTTGGAGCAGTCGCACAGCTTCACTTCCTGATCAATCATTTAGACAGATAATAGAATGCGACTTGAAAATTCACATGATCTAGGAAGTATGGATTGCTTCAGAAGGAGCTAGAAGGGTATCGATCGACTGTGTGAAACGAAAAGTCGACGGGGTGGGCTTGATGGGAATAAGCATTCACCATCGTGCCGATACAGAAGAGGCAGGCCTGAAGCAGTGAATTGACCTGCTGTATGCTAAGTCACTCCTCATCAAATGACATTTGACCTCGGCATTTATGCTCTATATTTTCGCTCGTGGAATTCAAGAATCTAGGCTCACACAATCATTCACCAGGACGAACGATAAGGTTTGAGTCGAGGTAACTGCCAAAAAGCGCCTCGAGCCACTGCATCTCTTGTACCACAGATTCCCCCCGATCTGCACACTCGAATGATCTTTCCGCTGATTCTCTCGAAACGTAATCACGGTTGGCAAACAGGCAGGAAGTATGAACTCCCTCGGAAGTAGCGCTGTGAGCCATGACTCGCCGTACGATGTGACCCAGCTTTGAAACGTTCCGGATCAGCTTCCCTGAGATCCATGTTTTACGAGGGTAGAATTCCAAAGCATGGATTGCGTTCAGGACCATGTCACCAAATGCATGCTTGCAAGACGGCTGTTTGATTATGAGTCCGATTGAGATGATGGCAGCGCCCAGTAGATAATGAAAAAAAGGATATGTGAAGACCGTCCGCTCCTCGGAAATCTCAATGCACTCTTGAATCACGTCACTGGCAACTCGTGCACAGATCCGTTCATTGTCGAGCCCGGTAAGAATGATGGCTGGGGAAGAGGTGGTCTCTTGAAGCATGGGCCTGCGGATGAGTAGACGCAGCGAGAGCCATCGCTGCACATTGTCAGTAAATCGTTCCAGAAATTTCAGTTAATAGATACTACGATGAACATACGACCCGCATGAGCTTTTGCTGCTTGGCTAGCCAGCCTACTGGCTTCTTGGATTGGGATTCCTGCTGCCAAACGTGGTAGACAAACTCTGGTGGGACCTCCCTTTGCGCCCGAGAGATCAAGTGCTCAAAGTGTTCGCGAAGCAGGTGACTGTTTCGAGGAGAAGATTGCATGGCTGAATCAGCGCCGTACATCCCCTCCCAAACCTTTCCCAGCACTCGAGAATAGATCACCATTGCAGCAAGATACGGGATTGGGGTCACTGCACCAGTGGCTCTGTCGAGTGTGTTTGGGGCGGAGGCTAGACTCAAATCTGTGTCCACTTGACGATAGAAGAGGCAATCATCGTCTAGGTCCTGCGGTAACTGTGTATTCACGTTCATATCTTGGATCAGAAATGGGCGTCCAGTGTCGATGGCGAGTCGGCGATCCATGGTATAGAGACACCACCAAAGCCGCCGATTGATTTCGACGTCGGATGGTTTCAGCCCGTCCACAGCAGGCAGGGACCGATGAAGCCCCAGGTATTGAGCGTGAGAGATGGCAATCGCGAGGAGCTTTTCTGCCCTGCCAATTATATTCAAACGGAATAGATAAATGACCTGGACGTCACGTGAGTCAGCTCAAGCGTTCCCCTTCGCCACAGTAACAACAGGAAGTTGAGAAAACAAGGAGTCGATCATACCATCAAAGCTAGAGTCTGCAACACCAATATCTGGTCTGAGCACTCCTCGAAGCAATTGAGTATGTCGCCAACGAGCTCTGCCGCCGCTCTGTACAGACTCCATCCAGCAGAGTGCCGAGCCTCTGCACCAGCGATGCGAGGGGATGCGGTACAACGTCCCGTGGCGAGACAAATGAGTATTTGAGCGATCGCAAATTGTTTGTGGCGGCCGATCGGCATACGGGGCTCCAAATCTGCCAAAGACCATGTGGTCCACATCTCCGTGTATCGATGCCACAGCGTCGGGAGATGAAGGAGTGGATACATGGTGTGAATCTCGTTGCAAAAAGTGTGCAGAAATCTATCCCATTGAGCCTTGTCTGCCGCAATGCCATGTCTGTGTAGAAGTCTGTGGAGATCGGATGCCACGCGAGATGTGGCTTCGCCACTTGGAGAGGACGGGGGGGTCAAGGCCGGTGTCGACATTCGGTCTGGACTCACAGCAATCGCAGACTCAAATCTGTGGTCAGAATTCACCAAATGACCTTCCACCTGATTAAGAGTGTATTGAATGGACGTCTCCCCTGAGAAGCTGAGTTGTTGGACTTGAGTTGACTGTTTCTGCCTTGAGGTAATATCTGTACGAGTCCCTTCCGAGCGTAAACCAGGGGGTGTCGCAGTCACAGCGTCAGGATCTCGCCCATGTACACTTATGCTCGAATTGGAAGCCCAAGTGCCGATGTTGCGATGAACCAGCTGCTCCAGGTTCTCCAAGCGCACTGCCAGCTCTCTAGTGTTTGGGCTACCCTCGTGACCATGATTCTCAGGTGAATAGTTCTCGGGCATGGTGCTGTGAGAGCGAACTGTCTCCGTTGCTTCAAGACTCTCACGCCTCCTGGACGAACCGCAATCTTGAATACCCTGCGTTTGGTTCCTGGCCGATCGACGCCTCATGTCGGTGCTTCGCTTGCCGCAGGTGCGCCCATACACGGCACAAGGTGTACAAAGGAGTAATCCGTCACACTAACTTATTATTCTAGTTCTTCCATCGGACTCGCACTGCGATAACGGATCCCAGAGGAATAAATAGGTGTCTTACTTTGATCTTCCTTTGTTGGCACTGGTCACTGTTGGGCCGTTAGTGCCTGCGGTGCGTGGAGAGATCGGAATCCAAGATGGAACGAGCAACGCACCACGCCTGGGAGACATATTTCCCCCGCTTCTGTCGTCTTGAGCTGATCAGGTTCAGCTCAGAGCCACTGCTGTGGTCTTCGGCTGCATGGCGCTTCCGTGGATCTGGTGCATCGGATCAGCCAAGGCTTTTCGGTTGTTTGTTGGTTGTAGAGAAAGGAAGCCCCACTCGGTTTTCGCGGCATCTGGTGGGTATTTGAGATGGAAGCCACCGGATACGCGCGGCTTGACTGTTATATCCAGAGGTTGAGATTGATGAAATAGAGATCGAGGCTGCTGGCTTGGAAGAGTGGTCCGAACGGAGAAGATGAGGTGGTGGGTGTAATGTGAGTCTCCGGTTGAATCGGCATTGTTGACCGAGTGATCGTCGGAATTACAGACGGAATTGTACAGTACCCGGAACTGAAACCGCCCGGTCCGAACTTGTTCCATATGAGTAAACCCAACTTGATGATGATCTGCTACATGAAGAAATTCCCATACCTTATAAGGTTGTGATAATTTTGAAGCCCTTGAATATATTTCCTTCGAAAATTATTCAGTCTTTCTAAGGTGTGACCCAATATACCTAGGCCAAGCTCTAAAAACAACCGCCCTATCATAAGCCTACCGAAATTAAGCCCGTGCTCCCTGATGAATGCCCCAGGCATCGAGGTGTCTGCTTATATAACCTCGACAGGACTGGGTCCCCATCAACAACTCTGTTCAACATCTGTATAGTTAATTTTACTGACTACTGGCAAGTGTAGGATCAATATGATGACTGACGTACAGCGCCTGCTTCGCTATCAAGAAGCATTCATACTGTGGTTATCGGCACACCGATTTTCTGTAGCTGGTAAACCAGAGACAGTGTCAAACCACACCAAAAGCAAACCACCTCGAAGTCCCAACGCTCTAGATCACAAATAAAGTTGCTTATCGCACCCCACTCCCCATCTAACCCTCAGCCGATCGTACTCGTATATGGTTTCAGCGTCGATCAATGGCCAAGCGGAGAGGAGCTCGTGTGCACGGTCCCCGCGACGCCAACCAGCCCGAGACCCATGGATAGCCCGTCCCGTGCCGCTTGCCTGCTAAGGCTGCAGTAGCTGCCTCTCATTCCCCTCTCTTGCTGATCTCACTCTCTCTCTCTCTCTTCCTCCCTCTCTCGGTGCACTCAATGCATTCACATATCCCACCATACTCATCACTGCCTGCCCAAGAGCAATCATGTCCACCACACCGACACCGTCTCTCACGCTAACCCGTCCCGCCCCAACAGACAACCCGACGAAACCCCTCATCATCCTCTGCGACGGGACCTGGTGCGGTCGCGAGACCAACACGCGAAGCAACATCTACAAACTCGCCGAACTTTTCGGGGTAAGAATCGGCGCCCGGATCCAGTCTCCGGACGGAGTTCTCTACCTCGAAGGTGTGGGACTGGGCAGTTCGTTCCTCGAGTATGTCCCCATTCGCTATCCACCACCTCAGACCACATACCACCCACCACACAGCCCACCCCGCAGTCCAACCACCCACTAACCCACCCCCCCAGCTACCTCTTCAACGGCGTAACCGGCCAAGACATCGCGCAGCAATGCATCACGATCTACGAATACCTAGTGCACAACTACACCTACCCGACGCACGAGATCTGGCTCTTCGGGCTGTCGCGGGGCGCGTACCTCGCGCGCGCTGTCGCGGGGATGATCAACAACTGCGGCATCGTGCACCCGGTCCGGATCGCGGGCACGAACGAGATCGACACCCCGCAAACCCGACTGCTGTGCGAGACGGTCTACAACCTCTACCGGTCGCCCTACGCGACGAACGCGCCGCACGCCCCGCAGTCGCTGCGCTTCCGGCAGACGAAATCGTGGCCGCTGATCGGCGACGAGGACCCCGCCGACCGCACCACGCCGCGGTTCCACCCGCCCATCCGGTTCATGGGCCTCCTCGACACGGTCGGCAGCCTGGGCATGCCCGAGTACACCGGCGGGGTCGGGCTGGACTGGCCCGTGTTCTACGACCAGCATGTCTCGACGGTCGTGGCGAATGTGCACCATGCGGTCTCGCTGCATGATCGGCTGTTCGTCTTCCAGCCGTGTCTCGTGAGTCGGGACCGCGCGCGGCACGGTGCGCGGGATTGGGAGCGGTTCGGCGTGACGCGGCAGGAGTGGCTCCCGGGGTGCCACTACGATCTCGGCCGCCAGCGGTTCCGGTTTCTGCGCGAGTTCGGCGGTGGGTGGCTCGAGTCTCTGCTGGCCAGTCGGTGGTTCGGGTTCGCGAGCAAGGTCATCGAGCCCAACCATGTGCTGGCGGATCTGGCGCTGCGGTGGATGCTGCTGGCGATCCGCGCGCAGAGCACTACCGTAAAGTATGAAGTGGTAGCCAACATTGAGCGCGTGATCGAGGATGTGACGGAGAGTATTCATGGCAGAGCGCGGGAGCCCGGTCGCACCGGCGACGGCGATGTCTACGGGCATATCCTGTCGTATGCGCCGTTTGGGTCGCTGCTTCTGGATGTTGTGCGGATGCTGCGCGGGACCCGAGGCAAGGTGTCGGCTCTGTATCAGTTGTTCTTCGATCTGCGGGACCGGCTGATCCCGGATGATAACGCTGTGGTCTACGATTTCCACGGGTTTGATGAGGATATCCCCGGGTGTGTCGGGGATTTGGCGCGGGTGAGTGAGCGGCGGTACCCTTCCAAGTCGTACGTGAAGTGGAGGTTGAGGCAGTAGGGTGGTTGTGTGGGCAGGGGACACGACTATTTTTTGGCTTGCGTCGTGCTATAGCATCAATCAATTGCTTCCACCGGGATGGAAGTCACCTTACAGGTGACGAGGTACTGTACTGTGCTACAACATTCATTGGGAAGTACAGAGCATGCGCGGAACGGTGTAACTGTAACACACTCAAGTACCTGGTTCCCGGGTCGAGGAATCTGCCGCAGGTGCGGGTGCTGATTCCGCGTCCGTCCGTAGTCCAACATTCGATGAATGGGTGACGTTTATTGATCCTGCAAGATAGAAGTTCTAATGGTCCCTTCTCCTCTTCCATCCATCATTTCCCCAATATGGCACGATGGTTCAAGTATTCCAATGACCGATGAAAACACTTAACCGAACAAGACCATGCCACGCCCCATCGCTCGAATGCGAACTTGGGTCACGCGGCAACAAACCATCAACAACCTCGCGGAACGACAGATCTCACTTATCCAAGCCGAGCAATGAAGAATAGGACAGTGACATCATCACCGCAATCAAACCACTCTCGCCCCGTTCCACAAAGGACCACCATGTTTATCTGGGGTGGCTGGGAAGACATTGAAGGTGGCTGGTGGTACCACCGGGAGCAACCGATGCGGGGAAAACAGCTACACAAACAACCTCGGCTGGGTGACATGGGGGGCTTATCTTATCGTGCCCCGCTTAGGGTTGGTCTTTCGCCCCGCATGCTGAACCTCTGCAAGGCATCATTGGTCCAAGGATAATCAAGATCATCGTTCGTCAACAGTATTTCCGGCCATCGCGGTGCAATCCGGTGAAATTTCTCCGGTGTTTTACATTATATAAAGTACCCTCAATGACAGGGATGCGCTTCCAGCCAGGAATCAGTTATTGAATCCACGGTACGGATACCCCCCCCCCCCACACACAGAGGACCGTCGACAATGCGTTTCATAACAAACTGGGCTCAGCTTCTCGGGCTGGCTCTGCTGGGTGCCACCGCTGTGCAGGCCGTGAACCTCAGCACTTCTGCACAGAATCTCTTCGACGAGTCGATGGTCATCCAAGATGCGATCTACGACCCTGCTGCCGCGTATCTCCGGTACTTCTACTTCCCGCTCGCGGCCGGGCCGCATGAGACCCGGTCGAGCGTATGGTATGCGGCGGGGTTGCTGCAACGTGATCGAGGGCAGGATCGCCAGGAAGCGGTGAGGATCTTGCAGAATGTCATCGGAGGTCAGGAGAAGAATGTCTCAGTGCAGTGGTATGGGGATTACACCAAGTACCCGGAACAACCGACGGTGGGGACGCCGGCTTATCCTCCTGTTGTGAGTACATACCCTACCGACGATCATCTGCTGAGAGATCGCGCGAGAGTGCTGACGGTGGCAAGATTTATAATTCATGGGACCCCAACTGGCGCGGGCTCATCGGGACGGCATTGATTGTCATCTACGAGGAATTCGGAGATCGACTTCCCAGCTCCATGCAGGAGCTGATCCTTGACAGCCTTTACAACAACACCGTCGGTGACACTTACCGCGTTGGCGGCGTGGATGGCGACAATCTGTACCCCGCGTACTCGAACGCCTGGCTGATGCGGACGGTGGTGGGGTCCTGGACGGGACGCAAGTTCGGCAATGCCAATATGACAGCCGCAGGCGACAGCGACGCCCGCGCCTTTTTGGAATTGTTCGACCGCAATGGCACGCTCTCCGAGTTTAATGGGCCGACCTATGCCGGAGTCTCGCTGTATGCCCTAACCATCGCAGCGAAGTACCTCGGCGCGACCAACGCCACCATCGGCCAGCAGGCGGCCCGCGTGATCGAGAGCATATGGGGCTACGAGTCGCAGCTGTGGAACGCCAACCTGCGCAACTTCGCCGGGCCGTGGGATCGGTCGTACGGCTACGACATGAACAAGTACGTGGCCATCATGTCGCTGTGGGTGTGGTCTCTTGTCGACAAGGAGCATGTCTTCCCTAATGCGACCTCACCGATCTGGACGATGGCCCACGCCGACGACTTCGAGATCGCGCCGCTCATCGCCGTTCTGTCAGAGTTCCATCGGGCCCTCGTACCTGCTGCTGCTCGCTCACGTCTTGAAGGGTTCGCGGAGGACGAGCAACGTACCTACACCGGGCACGCCTACGCACCGCCGGCGGATCTCGAACCGCGCAACATCACCACCTGGCTGTCACGCAATCTGACCATCGGAACGGCCTCCTTCAATCAGTCCGTCGTAGGAGGATTCTCTGAGGATTCGACCTCGTTCAGCCCAGCAGTCGTGCAGTGGCTCCGCCCTGACGCCTCGATCGGGTATTTCAACCTCTATCCGCAGGAGACAGCCCTGGTAGCCGACGTCGCCCCCTACGCGTTGAATCTGACCTACCCGCTGGGCAACGCGTCGAGCACCTTCACATTCGTTCTGGCTTCGAACCCCCTCCGCGCGAAGCGTGATATCGCAGGGCTTGAGGATGTAGACGGGCTCGCGATCAAGGTGGTAGGCGGTACTGTTGATCCCGTTCCCGAGATCTCGTTCTGCGGGCTCCTGGGCGGCACGTGTGAGGTTATTCAGTGAGTCTTCTTCCGCCACATCACCTTCTATCTTTGGTATCTTATGGTCAAATCGGAACATACTGATCGTTGCTCAGCAACTTCGAGTTCTGGAATGTGACATTCTCCATGCCGGCAAATTCCACGGCTGTTCCCAGCGTACAGTTGAAATTTGCATTCTAGGACGCAAATGGTGATGTTCAAGCCAAAGAGAAAGGATGCTGAGCATCGATGTTCTGAACTCCTGGACCTCCGTCCCAGAGAAAATTTAGAAAGCGACAATAGTACCACCCAATGGCTTATCTTTTTCCGACAGCTATCATGCTGTAATTGCTCCGTAGGTACAGACCAAGGCAGCAAGGAAGCAGGAGTCAATCTGCTCTTGAGCAAGGGATGAGAGGGTCCTTGAGCGTGTGTGGAAACGGGATAGGTGGGCGAAGCGTTGAGAATTTGATGAAGGGGTCGAGAAGGGACCGGGAAGGTGAAAGCTGAAGGCGCGATGGTGAGCACGTGATATCATGCGCAGGGGCCATGAGCATCTGGAGTAGGCGCATCCAACTTGGACGCGCAAGGTCTAAAGTAACCCCTACGGTGGCCTTGACTCTAATCGATCTAATAAAATCAAGTGAAGCAAGCGTAATCCAGAAGAAACCGATTATCATGGTGTGAGTATTTTGCGTGTATCCGGCGTTCGTTCTGATCGGAACCAGTTTCTACAAGCCGAATCGAAAGTACTGTACTGCAGTAAACGTATATTAGAAAACATCAAGGCTACTCGCAATAGACTGCGATCACACACATAGTCAGGGTGACATGATATTCCTCCCCTCAGCCGTCTCACAGAAACTCATTTGGCCTATCCTCGCTAAGCAGGATGGAGACCTACACAGGAATAGACGGCGCCACATCCAGCCAAAAGTCACAGCGCGCCGGCAGATAATCGAGGGCGACCTTCTCGAAACCCTCGAGGGTGACGACAAACTCCTCCTGTGTTGTGCGCAGTTCCGGCAGGGCGGGCTGGGTGGCGTTGGTAAGCTTATGGGCATTGGGATCACCCGTCTGGACAAAAGAGGCGTAAGCACCGGCAAAGCCCTCGTAGACGAGCGGGTATTCCGCCTGGATGGGCTCAACGCCGGCCCACCACTGGGCCTCGTCGCCGTGGTTGGCCGGCGGGATGGTGTACTCGATTTGGTAGCCACCGGTCTTCGCTCCTCCAGCAACCCAGTGGCCCGGGCAGGCGAGCACGAGATCGCGGAAGACGAGTTCGGCGCGCATCCAGGTCTGGTCGTAAGCCCCGATGGTTTCGGTGGCACCCTCGACCGGGTAGAGGGTCTCCAGGCGGGCGCGCGTGCTGGTATTGAGGCTAGGGAGGAATTCCGTCAGCCACACCCCGAACGCGGCGACCGTGTCGTTGAGCGGCGGGTCGCCCGACGAGGTGGAGCGGTTGAGGGCAGAGGGTAGGAAGTACTCCCCTTCCAACTGGGCGTATGTGGCAATGAAGGCTTCGCCGTTGAGGCGCTGGTTTTGGACGGCCTCGCTCAGCGTTTGCGTCAGGAAACCGGTGTCTGGCTCGATGACGGGAGCCCAGGTGAACATGCTGGGGCCGTATTTGTCGCTCTTGGTGATGGTGTAGGCGGCAGCATTGAGGACGTCCACGTCGAGGGCACGCAAGCACGCTAGTTGACCATTGCCGGCAGTGGTAGTACTACTATCACCAGCCGTGTCGGAGGAGGAGCAGTTGGTCAGGGTGACCAAGGAGTCAAAAATAGCCTCCGACTCCGGGGCATTGTAGGCGTAGGTCTTGGGCCAGTAAGGGCTATCCATAATGCCGCGGCGGAAGAGAGGGGGTTGAGTCTGCCCGTCGTGGGCGATCGTGTGGGCGACGACGCTACCCCCACCAGCACTAGTGCCCCAGAGGGTCACATTTCCAGGGTCTCCCCCGAAGAGGTGGATGTATTTCTGCACCCACTCTAGCGCGTACTGCTGATCCAGCAGGCCGACGTTCAGGTCGGCGTCGGCGGCCTCGAAGACCTCGCTTCCCGGCAGGAAGCCAAAGGCATTCGTGCGGTAGTTGGGGCCGACGCCCACAAAGTCGTTGGCCGCGCTGACCTCGAGCGAGGCGGCGTTCAGCCCCGGTGGACCTGATGAGGCCGATCCCTGGACAAACCCGCCGCTGAAGAAGTTGACGTAGACGGGTCGCAGCGGCTGGCCCGTGGTCCAGGGTCGCGAGTAGACCCCCAGGTACAGGCAATCCTCCGACCCGTTCACTCCAAGTTGTGGGCAACGCGGGAAGCTGAGGTCGGTGTCGTACACACCGGATACGTTAAGTGGCGGCTGTGGCCCCCGGAACCGGTTCGCCCCCGTCGGAGGCGCCGCAAAGGGGATCTTAACCCAGTAGCTGATGTTGGTGGTCGTTGAGAGCTTTCCCTCAAATGAGCCGTAGTCGAGGTCCACTTGCAGCGTCTGGGCCGTAGCTGTTCCGAGGTAGGCAGAGCAACCGAGCATCATATGAACGACGCGGCCAAGCCAGTGACGGCTCAGCCCCACGCCGTCCCAGCGCAGGGGCATGTTTGGAAAGCCTGAATACCACTGATGGGTACACCACAGCACAGTACAGCACTTTTGTGGTGGATTCGAGGGACCAGAGACGCAATCAATCGATGAGCACACGGTTCACAATAATCTCTGTGGGTGCAGTTAGGCATGAGGTCTTGAGGGCAGTATTCATAACAAGCTCTCTCACACAGTGGTTCAACATACTTTGAGCGCTGAAGTACTGTACTTCGGGGTAGATTAGCCCGAGGCGAGTGCCATCTTCCTGGGGAAACGGCATCTGCCAGGGAAAGCGTCATCTGCACGGCTATTGATGTGCATGAACTATACCAACAGCATGAAGTAGATGAGATGCGTGGGGGATACACAAGGGGATGTGTGGGGGGGGCATGGCGGGAGATGACCTCCGTACCGCATTGAGTTTAGTCGCCGCCCAACGCTTTGCGGGGGCGGGAAGTGTGGAGCCTGAGGCCGTTGCGGGCTCGCTTTCCTGTTTGTTTGGTTGTTTGATTGGAATGCGGTTCAAGTCACTGGGAGTATACCTGCCTTGCCTGATTGATAGCATCAGCTCATTGCTGATGTCTGCGACATCTTGAGCCATGATTGGGATGACTGAATGAGGGTCATAATTCCACCAATTATATTGGACAACTCTTTCCGGGTGTTTTATCAAGACTCGCTAGCAACAGAAGAAAGTTGCAGGGGCCCAAAAAGAAAAAGAGAATAGAGTCCGAGTCATGACACTTGTACCGCAACCTGTTATCCAATTTCTTATCAATGATTCATCTGTACAGCTCTTTCTTCCATGCCACCCGTGACCCCCACACCCTCCCCCAAGGCCCACCAGTAACCAACCTTCCTGGACATCCTGCCGCTTCACTCTCCACCTCCGGGTATCTCTACTACATTCAATCATCGTGACCATGTGAGACACCATGCTTTCAGGCCAGGCCTCCGGCGGTGGTTAGCTTGAGTAAGGATGAAATGGGGGTGACGCCCGGGTAGAATGAAGTGGGAACCGTCGGGATCGTAAAGGACTGGGTCGAAGGGAATGGGGTGCTTAGGTCATCGGCCATCGTCGAGGTTGAATACGCCCTAACGAGCGCAATTAATCTCATTGGTCCCGAAGACCCGTGCAACTTGGATTCGGACTTACGGCGTGGCGGTAATGGTCGTGGTGGTCGTGTAGGAATCGCCAGCATGGCCATCGGACTCCAAACAAGCTCCACTGCCATACGCATTCTCGCAGGTCCAGGTGGCATCAACGCCGCTATCAGTCCAGAGAGCGACGTCGTCCACCACAATATCTGTGCATGTATTATTCACAGAGCAAAGCAATCGATTCACAGAGCAAAGCAATCGGATTGTGGGTCGCGAATTGTCCGAGTTGTATCCATGCCAGTTCTAAATCAAGTCCCACGCGAATCTCAGCATTCTTGCATACGGAGGCAATCAAGACCAGTCACGTACCGTAAAAGTTAGGTTATACACCTCGAGCCCGTCTCCGTCACCTTGGTCACCCCAAAACCCGTCGAGGCTGAGCAGATAACTGCCCCCGTGTTGGATGACCGTATCCCAGATCACGTTGCGGAGCGAGCCGCTGGCCCCGTTCCACTTCACGAAGCCGGCGTCCGCCTGGCTCATGTACAGGTTGTGATAGGCAACGTTCGAGACGCTGGCATCGACGCCCAGAGAGCCAATCGTGGTACCCCCGCTCCAGTTGCAGTAAATATTCTCAATCTGGACGTTGGCAGCCGGGCTCTTGACGCAAACACATTCATCGCCGTTGGTAACCTCGACATCGTGGACCCAAATATTATCCCCCCAGATATCGATCGCATCGGTCGCACCCACACTGATGCCGCGGATAATCAGATTATAAACTTCCCCGTTGGTACATGTATCCAGGACGAGGTAATAAGATGGGGAGTCGACCCAGGCCATGCCATGGATGGAGAAGTCGGTCACATTCACAAAGCGCGCCAGCCGGATGCCATAGTTCCCGTCGGCGAGGTATTCGTACCCGTACCCCTGAATAGCTCCAGAAGAGGTCCCACTGAATCATTCCACGTCGGAGGAGTTCTCGATGGTTAGAATCTGGTCACCATCGATATCCCCGTTGCGGTATAGGACTCCGTCGTGTTGCAGCGCAATGCCTGTCCCGCCGCTAAGAGTGACCGTAGTCGAGATATAGTAGTCTCCCGGGGGAATGTACACCAATCCTCCACTAGCACAATCTTCCAAGGCATCCTGAAGGGCCAACCCAACGTCGTTAGTGCTGTCGCCTTCGACCGCCCCGTAGTCGGAAATATCACAGATCTTGGCATTCGCCTTGTCCGAATAGGAGGTCAAGGGGCCAACACTGCCGGAGAGCTGCGCGCCAACAGTGGCAGATACCGCCCACATCACGGAGACGACTGGAAAGGGATACATCTGGGACAATATGTGATTGAGATTTAGTCACAATACTTGCTCGAATAGGCTTCGTCCCTATCTTGGGGATGCTTCATTCACGGGCAACCATACCTAGTCCCTTTATATGTCTCGTTTCTCCCTCTTCGAGAGGTCCTGATCGACAGCATTCATAACATAACCCGCGTACGCCAATCCACGAGACACCACAGGGGGTCTCTTCGCCCAGCAAATGGCACAGGCCGTCTCCATTGTTGACAGGATCAATCAGAGACTGAGTCGGGCAGTCGGTTCTCCTACTCGCACCGGGTTCATGATCCCCCGAGGGGTCACATTCAATCGCCGACCCGTGTGAAGCGTCATCATCGCCTGGGCTTGCATTCCGACAGGATGCTTCCGCATGCCCATTCCGATTAATCAAGGGGGATTTACCACCTCTCATCTCACGCGCAGTGACTGTGGTGGAGAATAAATCCCCCGTGTACGAGCTGTTGCTGTGCTTCAATTGTAGCATCCGGTTCGGATGATGGCTTGAGATATGAGCACAGACCCCGGATCGCTTGCGCATAGTCAGAGAACGGCGTGTAGGCAAGTTCATTCCGGTCCTGTACTGCGTCGCTGCTGATGTTACACTGTCAACCTTTACGGGCTGAAGTGGTGGTGTGAGATCCGCCAAATCGGTGGAAGGGCCGAGAAGCGATCACGGAAGTTGAAAGGTGAAGATGAAGGTGCAAATGAAGCCGCGACGGTGGTCACGTGGTGAGCTGTTCAAGATGCCTGCTGCAACAGAAGTGAAGTTGCCTCCAAGGGTCTCTCGGTGTGCTTCCCTACCCTCCGCCGTTGGGTCGTTGGGTCCCCTCCTTGCTCAGAAGCATCCTTGCAACGGTAAGCACAAGTCCTCAATTCACTCTTGGAGCGACTCTTTACCACGATAATAACTAAAGATACGACGTGTCCAGAAAGAGAAGTCTGCTGTGAGACCTGATAAACACAATTGGGTGTTTCTTATGACTAAATTTCCCTCTGCATGATTACTGATTGACGCCTCCCATCTGCCAAGAGGTCTCTACCTACGCCTCTACCAGCAATACAATGGTTACACTTCCAAATTCCCCTCTCCTCGGCAGTTACTGGCCAATTTTCGCTCGATACCACGTCATCCTCGCTTGATCAACACAGCCTCCCCAGCTCCAACCCAGACCTTCCTCTGTTGCACCTTCTCATACTCCGCAATGCCGACGATTTCGCCCTGCGTGTTCACAGATTGACCCGCCAGCGTGATGTTGGCGGCCACGTCCACGCCCGGGTTGGTCAATCTCATCACCTTGGCATTTTCCCAGCCGGCCGCCGGCAACTCAAGAGCCGTGTATGGCCGCTGGGCCGCAGGGGAGGTGGAGTTCCACACCGACAGGCTGACCGCGACGAGCGACTCCAACTGGCCGTTGTCGTAAACAGCATAGGCGCCGAAGTCGGTGGTGTTGACCAGCACCTCGGTCTGCTTGTTGCCACCGGAGAAGACGTGGGCATTGAACAGGGCAGCATAATAGATGGGGAACACAGTGGGTGCCGTCTCGTTGAAAGTCACAGGCAGCCAGCTGGCGTAGGGGTATCGCGTGCCCATGTGGAAATGCACGCGTTCCACCCGCAGCGACGAGAGGTACAGCACGTAATCGACCGCCCAGACCGCCGCCGCCATTACGTCCGAGATGCCCCGCGCGCCCTGGCATGAGATTGAATTGGTCTCGCCCAAGACATACGGGATGCCTGATGCCGCGGTAACGTTTCCCAGGTAGTCGTGATACCACACCCGCGACAACACATTTGTCCGGTCGAAGATCGTCGTCGCGATCGTAGGGCCCACCCCGGTGTAGTCACAGGCGGCACCCATGTACTAAGATCCCGGTGGTCAGTTAACATTTTCAACCCAAGTATAAGGGACAGCTCACCTCATGGTCTGCCACGCTCTTCGCCCTATCCGCACGCATCCCGTCCGCTTCGGCATTCGCCACGTTCCAGTCCGTCGCCGCCGTGACATGGCGCGGAGCTTCAAAAGCACATCCCTGGAACAGCTGATCCGCATCATGCTGGGTCAGATTCTCGCTGATAGCCGATGCATACTCGTTCCATTGATCGACGTAGTCTTGGATTGTCCAGTTCGCCGGTCGTCGTTGGCCTCCGGCCCATGCTGCATATGCCGCCCCCACGTCAATCAATTAGTGAAGTGAATCATGGCGTTACCCAATCGAAAGAGGAAGAAGCAGAATTGTGGATGCGGAAAAGAGTTCAAACGCACAATCGACCTCATTTCCAATCTCGAATCCGTAAAACGCATCCCCAATGGCGTGATAGGCAGCGTGAGCCTCGAGAACACACTGCGCCAATCCATCACCCACATCGAACAGGGTTTCGTTCTCAGCATTGAAAAAGTTCAGTCCTGAAAGTCATCCACATCAGCATTATTCACCCTCCATCTGCATTCCGGTGGGGAGATGCTACCAAAGATATACTTAGAGCCAGCGGGGAATTGCCGAAAGGACTGCAGAAACGCCGGGCCAAAGTACGAGTGACGCGGCTGGCTGGAGGCAATGGAATCAAACGGATCAATCAACGCCTCTGTCTGGTCAGGATAGTAGACCGCCGAATTCTGCGTACTTCCGCCCACCCGGAAGATGGGAGCCTTGCCAGCAATATCTTTGAGGTTCTGGATGACCTGGCGCGAGAAGAGGTTGGGATGTCTGTCGTAACGATCCAGCTAAAGTTTAGTCCAACGCTTGCTAACTCCACCTTTCAGGATTGCAAGGGGGGCTTACGTATCATTCCCAGCGTAGTCCACAATATAGCAGAATTCAATGGAGAAGGAATGGTAGTCAGCATCATGCACGGGCTTCTCAGGGCGAGGAGACGAGGCAGGGGCCAGCGAAACTGTACTGGTCACATTGTACACTGTAGAAGCCATTGCCCAGCTTCCCAGGTGCAGGAGGTTACACAGCGTGAGTAACAGATATAGAGAGAAGACCTTCATAGTGAAGATTGTAGATAGGCGATAAGAGACACACGGCAGACAACAATAGTTTTGTCCCGACGAAGCATTGCATGCATCTGCGTATTTGTGTATCTACGTTTGATGGCCCTGCGTTCACTCGGTTGATCTCGTCCCGAGTGCAAACTCCAGTCGTTCTCTCAGCCGGCGGTTTTTCCTCCAATAACATCCCCCGTCCAGCTCCAAGCACAAGCCGGACCACATGATGGTCTGCGATGCTTGATTCCCCGCATTGTCGGCGTATGAAGATTATGTGAGATTTGGAGGACTCGATAGCCGATGCCTGTCACGATTGTGCCTGATGCCGACAATGACGCACGTGGGTTGTATTGTGGACGAGGCAGTCTGTAGATCAGTCCTCTTCTGACACGGAAGGCGTAGAGCATTGAATCTGAATATGGAGTCTGTAGAAAGAGCCGTTCAGCTCATACAAGGTATTCGTCAGCCTCTCTGTCTGGTAACAGTGGTGGGGGATGCTTGCTTGATTGATGGAGGAAAAGCGATCAAGATGGTGGAGGTAAAGGCACGAGGAGGGTCACGTGGCGTTCTGCGCAGTACCTATCCGTGTCAGAGACCTCAAGTTCGTACTTTCTGAATTAGCCACTATTCGTCCAATACCAATTTACAAATCAGAAATGTAATTGTCTTAGCTATAGTATACTTCCAACTAAGTCCCTTTCAGATAGACCAGAATCCGTCCGTCATCTTCACACTCCCCAGGCACCCGTCACAACAGGAGGCTTACCCGAACGCTCAATCGAGCAACTGCCGAGTAAAAGTCCCTTCAGGATCCCACTCTCGTTTCAAGCGCCGCAATTTCTCGAGTCGCGCTTTCCCGCGGTACCGTCTCTCGATGGGCCCAGTCCGGGTCCCATTTTGAAAGTCCACAAACCGCGACTCGGCCGGTCCACGTATGATGGCGATGCACTGTTCATTGTAGCTGTCTACCTTACCGCGGTTGGCCGCGTCTGTATGCCAGATCAAGTTGTTCCTAGTATCGACCCGGCAGAGTCAGCATTATCACTCAAGAGTCACCAGAAAGGAGACACGTACTGCCAGTAGCGAATATCATGCAGCGATTGAGCCGAATCCACATCAGGCGCCTTGGCATGCCTTGCATCCCATTGGAAATTGAACGCAGTATTGATTGCATCCGGGCACTCATCCACCATCCTCTTCCACACTGCAGTCGTCTTTGCAAAAGCATCAACATTGAACTCGTGCAGGCCCACCACGCCAAATTGCTTAAAGTCACCCTTTGCGCACAGGATCTCTCGCGCATCACTTGCATTCTGGATCGGCAACTCCCCTCCGGTCACCATCACTGGCTGCAGCTCGTACAGCGGTCCGAAGGGGATATGCGGATCCTCGTCACCCGTGTAACGCGCCGAAATAACCAGCGACGGGACGCGAGCCGGCGGAGGGGCCATGATCATCATCAAGCCAGCCGTCGCATGCTGTCCGTCCGCCATGAGTGGCTTCATCACGCGAGCGACCTCCGCCGCGCGATCCAGCGGGAAGACAAATGCTCCAACCCATATGAGGCCTGCCTGCTTTCGCAGCAAAGAGAGTGGATGGGCACGAACGGTCAGCTGGGTTACTAATCCGAAGAACTGGCCGGCACCGCGTAACGCCCACAAAAGATCCGGATTTTCGGTTTCCGTTACCTCCACTAGTGTTCCGCCGTCTGTAGCAGTGATGACCCGCGCCGAAATGATCTGATCAGAGCCGAAACCAGTGATGGAGGAGGTGATGGAAGCTCCTCCGCCGAGGAAGTACGGTATCGCGCCGACGGTGTTGCCGTTTCCGAGAGCTAGATGGATTCCACATCAGCATCAGCACTGAGTGAGAGAAACGCCTAGGGAAAATAGGCATTGTAACCGAGTAAGGTACCTGTAAATAGCCCTGCTTCCGCGAGGCGCAGGCCTACCTGTTTGGACAGAACCCCACCAACTAATGTGGCCGTTCTTGCTGCTTCATCTACCGTAACATGAGCGTAATTACTCAGATCAATGATGACGCCACCCTCGCCGATCGTAGACCAAGCACTGTGGCCTCCGCAAGTGGGTACAAACGGGATGGAGGAACGAAACGCCCATTGAACCTGCACCACATCAGCACATATTACCGAAGGCTCGGGCGTCTTGTTACCGGGGGCTTACAGTTCTGAGACAGTCTTCTTCGGTGCTTGGCAGAATAATCGCAGTCGGGGTTTGATGGTCAATATCAGTCCAGCGCCTCAGACGTTGGCAGAATTCAAAGGACTCAAGGTCTTGCAAAATCTTGCAGTCTTGGGCAACTGTGGCCTGCAGAGCTGGAAGCTGGGACAAAACATGAAGAGACATAATTGAGATGATGGTTGAGAGAAGAAAGTGCAAAAAAATGGGGCATGGGCAAAATCAAGTGAGAAGGCTACAACCGGCTTATGTATTCGAGGTGGGGTTGACGTGTTCAGGCGAACCGTGTGATGTAGTAAGCTGACTCTCCTATAGTACTTGCTTTGTATAGCTTCAAGTGGGTCTTTCCTCATACTGCTGATAGCGTCGTCCAATGCTTGAGAACCGAAAACGAGGCGTAGAATCGAGGGCGAGAGGGTAGCTGCTTCATATACCCAATGGCAGGACACAGATTATAGGAATTGCGAGATGATGAGTCGTGATACTGTGACCGAGCTGTAATGATCGTTTGCTGCACGCCGAACAAAATAGATGATCGAAGGAGGCTTCGCTGGTGATATATCACTGTCCCTATCGATCAGTCGCAGCTGTTAGCAAATTAGACTGGCCCCGGGTAAAGTCTTCCTTATATCAATGTAAGAATTGAGAAGGTGAAGAGATCTGAAACAACCACTACCAAAGTCATTCCCTTAAGTCAATTTGCCCTGGCACAAGGAGAATCCGAAGCAACTTGCCTGTAGAAACTGCAGCCATCAGCTTGCTACGCAGACTCAGAAGCAGCAGCCTTCGGTTTGGTCTCGAATGGTAAACCTTCTTGCAGCTGCATGCTTGACTCCGTCATGTCTTCCTGCGCGAGCAAATCTCGTAGCACAGCAAGACGGCACTTGGAGACTGTGAGATTCTGTCAAGGAGGCTTGAACGAGTGGTGAGAGACCGTGCTCGGAATAGGCTTTTCGAGTTTTGTAGTTCAGAACAAGCAACCGTAAGGACGCCGCAAAAATAGAAGCAGAAAACTGGTCAAGCGGGTCAAATATATATTGTCGCAGCTTAGTATGGAGACAATGTCCTGCAGACAGTGCCAGGAACTTTCATCGAAAGAATAAGCATGACTAGATAGTCCTCATTTGTAACGAGCCATGAGTCCAGCCGTGATGGCAACAAAGACGTGATATCTGAGAACTGCCAAGTGCAAGTTGTAACTATGACCTCCGCCCTGTTCGGCCGAAATACAAAGGCGGTATAGAGCACGGTGGGTCTTTCCCCCGCAGCTCGCATTCCCGAGAATGCACCGCACCGCCTTCCCGTCAAGGAAATCAAAACAAGACATATATTTTACAATCGGTATTCATCTGGCAACCACCAGGGCCTGTGGCGTACCTGGGAACACACTGGCTGATCGTAGAGGTAAACGCCCCAGGTCCTGCGTTCGAATCCCGGCCTTGGCACTTCCAGACGCTGGCTCTACCAATTTCGGGATTCACCGGTATGAAAACACCCGGGGATAAGAGGGGTTTTCGTAGCCCGCGATAGCGGGCGATCTTTTTTTTGGTGATTACTTCTGGAATTTATTTTATTTTATGTTATCTAGAAAGCAATGACTGGCATACTGGTGTTGACTAAATGGAACCTTTTGACAACAGCGCTGCTAAGATGGATGAGTGGTGTTCATCAGGTCAAGTTGGAGGAATTGGTTTCGGCAGCCTGGTCTCCCTGAGGCAGATGGCTGTGTTGATGTCCACACCATGGAGGTCCTCTACCTCTGTAACTGCCTCGCTCAGGTCTTTCTCATGATCAAGGTCGACACACGACGTTTCGTTGTAGACCCTTCTGTGTATCGGTCGGGGTGAGTCGCTGGGGATCCTGGAGCTGTCAGAGCCCCGTATGCGTCCTCGCCTTTTGAGAACAGCCCTCGCAAGTGCAATGCCGCTCGGTACATTGATAGAGATAACGGAGATAGCACTTTCGAGGACAGCCCAGTGAGCGTACTCCATCGTTGCACAGATCAACTTTGCGGACCCACACGGATCGCCTTGGGCTATCACGACGAGACGTATGATAGACATCACGACAACAGAATAGGCCATGAAGAAGGTAATGAGAACGACAAGGCGGCGACGTAAACTTCTTTTGAGGCGGATGATAAGCGGGACTGGGAGGAGGAGAACATAGAGGTCTATCAGGCAAGAGAGGCTCGCTGTCGATACGTACCAGGGGTAGAGCTGAAAACAGGTGCCCGGCAGCGTGGGATCCCATGCTTTTGCAATCGGTCGACACTGGAACACTGTACTTATCCAGACGGATACAAGCCAGCCCGCGACGAGAGAGCCCGCGACCCACAGGAGAATCCGGAAGACGCGATTATTCAAGCCGAAAACGCGGGCGTAGAAGAAGATGGCGGACAGTTTGGTGAAGCAGATGGCCCCGGTGAAGAAGAACAAAGACGTGAAGAGGTACGGAAACCCGACGCTGGGGTAGTAACGGAGGCCGATTCTGAGCCATAGGATTATGAGGGATAGATAAGGCACTTCGGACAGCTGTGCGCAACAAACAAATTAGTTGGTCTGCGTTGGACCATATGCCTAGACCTCATACAAGAGAGAGGATGGCAAAATGATCATCCCACCACCACTGTGGGTGTTCGGAGATGGATTTGCTCGTTATTCGAACGATAGTAGACAATGTCGTGAGCACGATGAAGACAATATTGAGCATGAGAAGCCTTGGTCTGGCGTCGGATGAACAAAGTGATAAATCTGCCATTATTGTAATTTGCATGCAGGATAAAACTGACTCCGACCAAAGTCATGCCAGCTGGTAAGCTGACCATCTTATAATAGACGGCCTAAATGAGTTCGAAGCTAGTGTCTACAATGTGCAGCACAGCCGCACGGGGCCCAGGTGCAATCCTGCAGCGGTCTGTGTAGCGTCTTCATGGAGTGCCCGGATAGTGACGGTCGCATCGGAGCATATATGAGCTGAGGAACATCCCTGATCCCGCAGGTCTTGAAGCTCCCGAATCTGACCTTGTGCGACCGGGTAGAAAGCCCAATTGACTGCGAACCTATCAAGGCAGTCATCTTTAGTGCTTGCGCCCACATGCTAAGGATGAGGCCACCGCCGTTGCACGAGCTCGCTAAAGGCAACTGTATCCAGATGATATCAAGCTATTGTCCCCTTTTGGCCCCTTTGCATTGTCAACTCACGATTCTTAATCCTCAGTCCGAGCTGCCTCTAAAATTGCATGGTCAGATCCCTAGGGTTGTGTAAAATAGCGGAGAGTCCTCTGGCGTCGAACCACTTTGATCAAAAACCTCCTCGTCCTCCCCCCTGAGTCCTCGCCACCACTCACTTTGCCGCACAAGTTCTCCATCTTCACCGCCCAGCAGTGCCCAATACTTCTTCAAAAACCAGACTTTGGCCTCCCAACTGCGGACATCCCACGGTGTGCCTGTTGGATGACGTCCAACCGAGTCTTGTCTGTCCCGTTTCCCCATACCGGCGCCTCCCCAGCAGACCAAGCCGGAAATTATATCATCTATGAACTCATCCTCATCCAGATCAGCCTGACGGAGCAATAGATTTCTTCGCAACGTTGGGAAAGGCAGAATGTCAATATAAGGGTGGTGCTCAATCATAATCTGTTCACGATTTGGCCGCAGGTCCGGCTTCAGGGTCTTGAATATTCTTTGTACAGTGCCGACCATGTTTGCCTTGACCAGGTCATCCGCGGAGGACGCGCTGGGCCGGTAGAACGGCGAAAACGACTCATCGGCACAAAGCATTGATTCGTTGACACCGATCTGTATTCCAAGAGTGTACAGTGCTGTCACGGTGCAGACTGGGTCAATGCGGATGTGGTTAGCATATGGATCCGCAGCTGGCGCACCGGCTTCAAGAGTGACGATACGAATTTCGCCAGAGCGAAACGGGTAGGGGCTTTGGGTCTGAACACGGATGTGAGATTTGGGGCAATGGCATTTGACGGCGATGATGCAGTTCGAAGCACCGGTGTTATCGCCATGATTGTCTGGGACGAGAAAGGACGGTTTGGATTGAGATTCAGTGCCCAATATGCTCAATGCTGATGCAGGCTTGTCTGATTGCGAGACACTAGTGGTAAAATCCCTTAAGCTGGGAGCAGACGAGAGATCATCGGAAAGCGAAGCCTCTACAGAAGCATGCCAGATGCTAGGTACAGACAGATTGTCCGACAATGGTGCATAGATCGTGGAGTCGAACTCCGCCAGCGATGATGAGGTACAATCGAGGTTAGTGACATATGTTGAAGGTTCCCACAAGGGAAGAGCTGCTGAAAAGTCTTCCAGTGAGGGGCATGGGTCTCTAGGGATCACCGCAGATGGAAAAGGAACTGGTATTCCCGGGGCTTCAGAGGCTGGAATTCCATTTGAAGCGATGTGGGGCAGAAAGGTCGAAGGTCCATGCGCTACGGCCGCTTCCGAGGCGTCAATCTCCACAGCTGCTGTTCTTTCAACCGCATGATTCTGCGCAGCCGACGCTGCGAGTGCCTCGAGGTTCTCTAGGCGTTTGCGAAGCTTCTCTCCTAAAAGAGAGACAGCAAATTAGTACTGACAAGATCAAGGATTTGTGTATAATCAGACACCAGGCGCCAAAGTCAGCAGTGATGTGCGCTTACTGTACTTCTTCTGAGCTTGAATGTTCTGTTGCCTCCTCTTCTCTGGGTCGCGGCGGACGGGCTTCCGTTTCGCACTTCCGGTACTGTCACTGGGCTCTGTGGAACCCCGGGTCTGCATCGGCATTGCGTATGTAATTAATCAGGGGCAGTCCTTGGAAGCGAGAGTATGAGGGGTTATCGTAGGGCGCTTGTTGTGAAATCGTCAGACGAGGTCTGAAGAAGCGGCGGCCAGACCATGGCTGATGTCAGCCATATCGCGCCTTTCCCGAATAGTGCTAGTGCCAATCCTTCCCTCTATGCATGTCCCTCACCCAATTCCAGTTGTTCCTCAATCCTATTCTGTCACGCGCAAATACACTCCGCTGGCACATTCCTCTTTCCATTTATTTTGGCCACTCTTGATCATGTAGCCTATTCTGTCACTCAATACTGGGATGGGGATATCCTTTCTGCAGCCATGTGAGCAGCTTCCACGGCTGCCGTCCCGACGGCCAATTGGCCATGACCTGCAATGCGACCGACCGACTCGTCCGCAGTTCAATCTATGGAGACAAATCGCCAGAACGTGCCTGTCATAGCTTGAAGCCCCGGTTCAAGCAAGCTGAGGCTCAGCTTATCCTTTCCTCTAAAATGGAGCTTTTGACACACTGCCCCACCCGGCGCGCGAATGAACGCACTCCTCTAAGAACGATAGCCCATTAAAACCGAGCGCTTGAACATTGCACTACACGCTAAGCTTCATTCGAGATTACGAGATGAACTCTCTCAGAAAGCTTCGATTGGATGACCAAAATCGAAGAAATAATTTTGGCTTCTGTGCTAACTAATTTCCAGTACGTAAGAAGTACATTGATCGAAGCAAAAAGCTCATCCCCATATCGCTTGAAGGTCAACATCTCTCACTGCCTTTGGTCGAAGGCAGGTGGATATTAACCGCCATAGTGAAGTTCCCCTTTCGGAGTTGTGCGAAATGATGTCAACTGTTACATGTCCACACCGCTGGAAGAGTCCTCGTTGATGACACCACCAGACGAGGTCAGAGTCGAAGCCCAAGTGGCGCTGGAGTCATGGCTTGCGGTAACGTTGATGCCAAGGGTAATCCAAGCCAAAATGCCATCCTCGATCGAATCACCCAACAAAGCATACTCAAAGAACGGGTCGGAGTCACTATCCTCAGTCTCAACTATGACCACGTGATCATCCGCATTCTCGGTGATAGCCACCGTGCTGGTGTTGTAGGGATGGGTAGCCTCAACCTGCGAGATCAGATCTTGGTCGAAGAACAACTGCCCGACGTGGGGAATGTGTCCCCCAGTCAGGGTGTTGTTGGGAAGGACCTGAGCGCCCACGTGGGCGATGACATGAACGTGAGTCGCGCGGCCTGAATAGTGTCCGGGAAAAACAGTCTTGAATCCAGCAACACCGTCCGCGTCGGTCTTCTGGATACCGCGGAGGAAAGTCTTGTCGAGGTTGGAGGCGTCGTTGCCGTTGCCGTTCATGCTGCTCTGGACTCCAGAGTAGATACCGGTGGAGTTGCAGTTCCAGACGTCCCAGTAGAGATCCTGGATGGGCTCGCAGGTGTTGATGTCGATGAATTGACCGTCCAGGATGATGGGGACGCCGGCTTCTCCATCCGAGATGTCGTGGCGGATAAGCTCACCCTTCACCCAGAAGGGACCGACTTCACCCTCCGGAGCGAGGATGCAGACTGGGTCTTTCGAAAACAGCTCTGACTCAGAAGTGTTGGGCGTCACTTGGAGGGAGGAGTGGTGCGAAGTGTTCACCACCTTCTCCGTATCGCGGAGGCCGAGGGAGCGCTTCTTGTACTTTTCGAACAAGGCTGCGCGACGGGAAGCAGCTCGTTCATGCACGCCTCGCTTCTCGAGCTGTCCAGCGCATTGGCTTAGGCTCCGGTGGGCATTGTGCAGGAACGCACGCTTGGAGACATCGGTGAAAGAGCTAGGCTCATGAGCACCAGGATGAGCAATGGCAAATCCGGCCAGCGAGATTGCAATGGCTTGCTTGAGCTGAAGAATCTGCATTTTGAATTGATTGAGACGAAGGGGTTCGAAGGACGATCAGAGTGTGGAATGGTTTCTGGAATTGAATCCCTCGAAGACCATGGACGTGACCTTTATATACTCTCGGACTCCGTGATTTAGGACTCCTGCAATCATTAATCCCAGTGTCCATGCAATGGACTTCACTGTCCGTCTTGTTGCTGCAGTACTCAATGCCGCTCCGCGGTCCCCATGAACGCGTCATCGTCGTCGTGGGCAATCTTGGCTGGTTGTTCTGAGTATGCTCTCACTGAGATGTAGCAGAACAGATAAAACCGATGAGAACACTATCAGTTGCAGGTCAGGGAGGCCCTGGCTGACGAAATGGGGGACTGTGATTGATGGCGGCATGTTAATCGAGAATTCGAGATGAAGCATCTGGGCGGGATGTGGATCCGGTGTCGGACTTGGCTCTTGGCAGCTTCCGCGTCTCGGGCCCTTTTCTCCACGATCGACACTTCCGCCTACCCTCTACAACTAGGCTGCATCCATGGATGTTTTCCCCCGCGTCGATCCCAGCTTGAAACCCTTGCAAGTATCGGCGCAAGCAATGCCGCTGAGTCATCCGCTTCCAAATCCAGTCAAGTCGACTTTTTTTAGTATACCTTCGTCTCTCCCCGCGGTCCAGGCAACACACAACTCCTGTCGGAATTGAGGTGCCGATGACTGAGCAGCCCGGAGTCATTCAGGGAATCTGTGTCGCCAGAATCAAAAACGTTGCAGTGGATCCATCAGATCCCTGGTTTGCTAATGATATCCCGCTAGCATGAATGGTCAATCTTCGTCTCAACGTGCTGGTGGTCGGGTCCGAAGTGCTTGTGATTTGTGCAGGCAGAGAAAGGTTAGTAATTGCGTTCATCTTGTGGTTACTCTGCATCAAGCGGATGCGGCATTAGCGCAATCAGGTGCTGACCCTAGGGTGTTTTAGATTCGCTGCGATAACGTCCAGCCTAGCTGTGAGACGTGTTGTCTTGCCGGCGTGCCGTGCACCTTCACAGATCAACCTGGCCTGTCCCGAAAAAGTCTTCGAGAGTAAGTACTGGCGCCAGCTCTATCTTCTAGCACTAATCGATATGGCAGTCAGCTCCAGGATGCCAGAGCGAGAATACGTGACCTAGAAGCGCAATTGGCCGTCCACCGGTCTTCGCCCCCCACGGACTGCAGCGAGCGAAGTAACTCCGATGGCATCTCAGAGAGCCCTTGGCTTTGCTTGATGACTCTGGACCACCTTCCAGACAGCTACGATCTAGACGCTTCTCTGGGAACATTTCAAGGAGAGATTTCTCATTGCGGAGTGGGGAAAGCCGGCTCCATTCAACGCTCGTCGATCTTCTCTACGGTCTATGAGAAGACCGGCTCTCCAATCGATCTCGACCATTTCCTTACCCAGGCGGCACAGTCTCTCAAATTCCAGGGCCTCCAGGAACGGACAGGTCCGAAACGGTCACTTTCACCGAAATGGCCTCCCACGCCTCTGGTCCAACACTCCATAAATCACTATTCCCGGAGCGGGCTCTATTCTATCTTTCCAGTTGCAAATGCTGATGCGTTGAGCGAATTGATTCAGGAGGGTATACTGGATCACCAAGATGGCACCGTTCCCGCAGCTAAGCTAGCATGTCTTTTTGCATTCACTGCGATGATGAGTGTAATGCATCGGCTCGATCCGGCTTTCGTCGATGCTGAACCCGATGCTTACATCCAGGCTGCATTGTGCCTCGTGCCCAGAGTCCTGATGGAGAAGCCCACAATTAGGAGCCTAGAGGCTATTGTCTTGATCGTATGCCACCTGGAGTCTTCAAGAGGAATGCGGCTGACTTGCGCAGATGGCTTACGTGATGCCGGGTGCTCAAGTTGAACAAGGTCAAATGCTACTATCTCTAGCTACTCGAATGATTTTGAGCCTCGGCGGCCATCGATATTCCGTCATCCACGAACCAGAAGGGAGACACCTCCGGGCTCTCTTCTGGTTCTGCTACGGTGCAGATAAGAACATGGTCATTCGCTACAACTGCTCGCCGCATTTCATCGACGTGGATTGCGAACTGCAGATCCCGGACAACTATGTCTTGTCATCCTCCGACCACCAATTCTTCTCGCGGCCACTTTCAAACGACGAACTCCTCTTTCCCTCTGACATCCGACTCTCTCTCCTCAAATCCAAGGTTTATCATCTGCTCTACTCCGATCATGCTCGAGCTCAGCCTGAGGCGCGTCGCCTGCAATACATCCGCGAACTGGATCAGGAGCTCACCGACCTCAAGGCCACATTCCCGGTCAGCTGCTGGCCGGACCTCTTCGCCACGGAGACGGCACCCAACTACACCTTCCACGACCTGAGTCTACGGGGGGTATGCCTCCATCTGGAGTTCTATTTTCTTGTTGGCAAGATCCACGGGGCGAGCGGCGCTGTCGGCAGCAGCAGGAGTAACTCCAGCTGGTCGATTCTGCCATCCAGTGCCGAGCTCTTCCATCAAGAATCCCGGTCAATTCTTGTCTACATTTGTCGGACGCGGGAGTTCCTCAACTGGCATACTTTCTGGTACGTTACGTGCTTTCATCCTCGCTCTTTTGTCTGTATATACCCTACTAATGTTGAATGACCAAGGATCTACGCCCAGTTCCTCCTTACCGGCGTCTTCTCGCTCTTCAAGTTCCTCATCACCTACCCCACGGCGCCGTCATACGCGAACGATATCCAACTGCTGCAAACCGTGGTGGATATTTTTGTAGGATTGGACAAGAAGGAGTCGTCAGGCATGAGGGGGCGCTTTCCGCCGTTCTATTTCACCGTGTGCCTGGTCAAGCGGTTGATGTTTCTGGCAAGACAGGCTGCCGCGAGGGCTGCCGTATGACATTAGTCACTCAACGTAGTCAGTAGCAACAAAAACCTCCATATATAATAATCAAAGATACTGTAGTCACGCCACGCCACTCCCTAATTCCCGTTCAACTCCCGAGCCAACTCCCTATACGACCCCGACCGAATATCCTCCAACACCCCCGGCCCCGAAGGCACCCACCCCAACACCCTCCTGGCCTTGTCCCCGGACGCGCGATTCTCCGTCCCCAAGAACCTCGCCACCATCTCGCCCAGCTTCTCCCTGGCCTCCGCCTCCGTCAAATCCACCACCCGCACCCCCAGCACCTCCGCCAACGCCCCAAACATCTCGGAAAACGTCACCCTCGTCTCGGCACTCGCATTAAACGTCTCCCCGGCCCCACCCCTCCCGACCGCCAACAAGAATAAACCAGCAGCATCATCCACATGCACCGTCGTCGTACACTTCCCCCCTCCGCCCACCGTCACAAACGACCCCGTCCCCCGCGCCTGCCGCATAAACGCCCCCAGCCCACTCCCGCCCCGCCCGTACACAAACGGCGCCAGCCGCACACTCATCGCCCGGAACCCGTGCCGCTCCCCCAGCGCAAGCACATACGCGTCCGTCTTCGACCGCGTGTTGATCGGGTTCGCGTCCACCGGCGACGTCTCGTCGGTCTCCTGTCCCTCCGGGTGCGGCGCATACAGCAGCGTCCCCGATGCTAGGGCGAGGGGTTTGTTGGACCCCGCCAGCCCGGCGGCGATGGCGTCCAGCGCGGCGACGTCCTCCGGGAGGCCGAGCTCGTCGTACGAGGCGCTTTGGCCGAAGGTGTAGGCGGTCGCGAGGCAGATCACGGCGTCCGCGGCGCGCGATTCCGTTGTGATGGTGGAGTGGGAGCGCAGGTCGCCGCGGATGGGGGTCGCGCCGTGGGTGGCCAGGTGCGTGTCGGTTTGTGGGGTGCGCGAGAGGGCCCGGATGGTCGTGAAGTTGTGGGGGGGCTGCGTGGCGAGATGCAGGAGTTGGGTGCCGATGTAGCCGCTGCCGCCGAGGAGGAAGAGGGTTTTTTGTGCGGGCATTTCCGGGGGTTGGGGGGGTGTGGTTGTTGGATAGGAGATTGCGGGGTGGGTTTGGTGGTGGTGGTGGTGGTGGTTGTTTGGCGGTGTCGTTGGGTTGGGTTGTGTTATGTTGTGTTTGAAGATTGGTGGTGGTTGTATAGTAATTGCCGGTTTGCTTTGGGGGTAGTCTTTGTTTGAATCCTCGGATTGGTGGTGGCGGTGGTGGTGATGTTCCTAGGTTGGATGGATTAGATTTAATGCAATCCTGAGGAGAGACACAGGCTTATATACCTCATTGCATAGCCAGTATACTTCGTGAATAGTGGCGCAGTGGTGGAGCGGGCAGTGGAGCGGGTAGTGGAGCATTGGAGCTGAGAGAATTGACCAGCGGGGTTAGCCGGCGATTAGAAGCAGCAAACCACCGTCGGATGTTGGGAGCTGCTCATTATTTGGGGGCCGCGTCTGAAACGGAAGCGGGTTTGGCTAGTAGGCACACACCATCTCCCCGTCGGAGTCTGCAGCTGCAGCCCGCCGGGTCGGAGTTATTCCCCTCGGTCCCACAACAGCCTGAACTACGTATGTGTGTCTTGCATTGCCAATTCATCTGCCAATTACTTGGACTTCACAATTCTCGGAAATAGGCGGGGATAACGATTTGCTACTGCACTATGTACTAGTCATGCAAATTCTTCCATCTAGACTACTCCAGAACTCTCATTACTATCCCCTAGGTAGAAACAAATGTCGTAGCTCATTACCCCATGTTGCTCCTCCACATATGACTGACTACTCCCCCACCTAAAACAACCACGCCACAAACTTCCGATAGAACCAACTCGCCCCCTGGTGCTGCTCCTCCATCATCGCCTTCCGCCTCAAATACTCCCGCTCCTCCGCATCCACCTGATCCTTCCCGCTCCACAGATCCGCCTGGTACGGATCCACCCCGGAGCATCGCGTCACTAGCTTGTACCCGCCGATCAGGCACAGATACAGCGGGATGCCCAGGTACGCCGTGATGAAGGTCTTATAGTTGAAGTTGCCCCACTTCTTGTTGTGCGTGAACACGTCGAAGCTCTTCGTCAGGCAGATCAGGATGCAAAACGCCAATGCGGCGTAGGATCCGTACACCCCGAATGGAGCGCGGTACGCCAGGTCGCTGACGGGCACGTTCTGGGCCTTGCGCGCCCGCACGAAGTAGATGTGCGTGATCAGCAGCGAGACCCAGGTCAGCAGTCCGAAAATCGTGACGAGGTCGACGAAGTAGCCGAACACCACTTTGGAGTCGGAGGAAACGTTCATGTACGCGATGCACGCGATTGCCGCGCACACCCCCAGTGCGTAGATCGGCACACCGCGCCGGTCGGTCTTGGCCAGAAACTTAGGGGCCTTGTTCTCCTTGGCCAGCCCGTAGATGGTACGGGTAGCGATATAGAGATCCGAGTTGGCAGCGGAGAAGACAAACAGCAAGATGCAGGCGTTGAGAATGTGCGGGAGGACAGGAATACCAGCGAGCACGATGGCAACCACAAACGGCGACGCGGCGGCCGAGGAGGATTGCTTCGTGGCGAAGATGAGCTCGTCCGAGTCGTACGGGACCAAAGTGCCGACGAGCAGCACACTGAGGATATAGAACACCACGATGCGGTAGAAGGTCAGTTTGATGGCCTTGGGGATGGTCTTGCGGGGGTTCTCCGCTTCGCCAACCGTCACACCCACCAGCTCGGTACCCAGATAGGCGAACGTGGCAGAGACCATAGTCGCCCAGAAGGCGTAAAACCGACCGGCTGGTCCGTCGTCAATGTAGGTGTTGAATGCACCGGGGTTCTTCCAGTAGCGGAACCCTTTGCGGTCGTGGTCCGGGCCGCCCCCGAGCATGAGGATGAAAGACAGCAGTATCAACCCCAGAATCACAACAACCTTAAAGGACGAGAGCCAGAACTCGAACTCGCCAAAGAAGCGCACTCCGAAGTAGTTGATCGAGACGATCAAAACGAGGAATATGGTGATCCATACGCCCGGATTGACTCGTTCTTTGTCGATCCAGTAGGATATGACAAGTGCGCCTGCGGTGAGTTGGTTGGGGGTGACGATGATGTATTTGAACCAGTACCTGCTTGCTGTCAGTGGAACGGACACAGGTAGAACTTAAACTCAACGTACGTATAGCCCATAGCAAAGCCCAGTGCCGGGTCACAGAATCGAACAGCATAACCAGTAAAGCCCGAAGACAACGGCAGCCAGGCAGCCATCTCTCCCAGACCACACATCACCATGTAGACAACAAGACCGACAATAGAGTAAGAGATGAGGATAGAGGCCGGCTAGATGCGCGTCAGATGTTAATCTGTGATATTCGGAGCAAGCAGTCACCTACACCAGCTCTGAGGGAAATGTCAGCTCACTCTCCGTACACAGCTTTCGGGAAGGAACTTACTTTGCAAGGGCAGATCCTGTTCCGATGATGAGACCTGTTCCAATGGCCCCGCCGATCGCTAGAGACCCCGGATTAGTTTCCCAATGGCATGTGCAGCCGGACAGAACAGGGTCGCACCGATCATGGTGATGTGGCGGGCCTTGAGAGCACGATGGAGCTCATTGTCACCAGGAGCTTGGATTGTGCTCTCTTCCGCCGTGAGTACATCGGTCGCATAGCCCTCTTTGAAGAGGGGCTCCTCTCTGTAGCCCATCTGGGGAGATAGCTGAAGTGCAGACCGTGAGCTATTGGGTTAGTCGTGAACAGGAGGAAGAAACAAGAGGTTGGAAAAGGATGAGAAAAGAAGAAAGAGAGAGATGGAAAAGGTCGAGCAGGGGGGGGGGAAGGTGAGAAAAAGAAAATAACGCGGCGACTGTTAGGAACTAGGCTGATCTTCAGGCCGGGGGAGGTAACATTGGAAGGTGGGATATGATATGATATGACATCTGACTGCCCGTAGTTAGCCCGTATTGGACAGCCGATGATAGGCGTCGGCCCCTGTTTCCTCTTCCCTCTCCGCGGCTCATCCCATCCACGAGGCACTGCACCAAAGTAAGTAAGCACTTCCTCTCTTTGCATTATCGCAACCATTCACTGGTGGGTGTGGTCTGGACCCGAGGCGGATGCCTTGGCACTTTGCATGCTGGCTGCATTTGGAGGAATTGATATATTGCCGATTGTGCGCATTTCTGTACAGTCACCGAACGTGAGGATATTTATTGATAGATTCATGTGGAAGATTTCTCTCTCCTCCCGTCAACCACGGCTCTCTGTCAGGCTTTAATCACACCCCGCGGGGAACGGGCTTGGCAGGATTGGCATTACCCAATGCATTGCCTCTGCTTATCCCGCCAAGCACCGCTTATCGCCATCCGCCGCCGCCGCTTATCATTGCACCTGTTCACAATACTACACAGTAGTTATCCCGCCCACACAGCCCATTACTCATCTCACCCACTAATCGTCTCCCAATTTCGCCCCCCCGCCCCTCTCCCCTCTCCCCTCTATCAGTGTAACCTGACCAAACTCTCTGACTTCCTGGTAAATTGGAGCGATAGCCAGCTTGGCACCCAAGAAACTTTATCATGGCCAAGACACGAGGGCAAGACTTCGCACGGATTCGGTGCCTATGACAGTAGGCGATCGTCACGGCCGCACCTGTCCATAGCATTACTCAAGTGAACCAGAAGATGACCATGGTGAAAACAGTGAAACATAGTGATAAAGTCATCTCGGTCAGATATCAACAGTCATAGATTGTACCGAAAGATTAAAAAAAAAATATACACCGGTTCCTGGTTCATCCCATGCTGCCAAACAAACATCATTAGTCATAGTCGTAGAATCATCGTCCCAAGCCATCAGCTAGGTATCGTCCCCGGGTGGAGAAAGAAACAAATCGCAAGTGCAGACTTTTCTGTAAAGTCAACTCGATCACCGACGGAACTCGAACGAATGTTGTTCCGTCCAATCCACCACCTCCCATTCCTCTGGTTCGTCTGAGTCAGTGTCGTGGGCCGTGGCCTCGTCATCGACTACAGACAGGTGGTCTCCAGTAATAGACTTAAAATCATCCTCCGACGTAGCAACCACTCCGGTGTCTTCCATCTCGGCTTCCCAGTCGACTTCGAAGGCATTCCCCTTGAGAAGGAAAGATCCCAACTTCAGGGCCACATTGTAGATTTCTTTCCCGGTGGGAATGATATGCTCCGCGGGAAGCAAAAAGCCATAGCTACCACGGTCGCGGAGCTTGATCTGATAAGAATAGGTCGCGTGTAGCTGGTGGTAGAACCAGTCAAGAGCGCTACCACCCGAGGATCCACCGATGGGGAAGAAGCGTCCACTATCCGGCGCTCGCGTGGTGACCGTGCCTTCACACGCCGATGAGACATCATAGATCTCATGCGTGGCATACCGAATGACCTTGGCCAGCCCGAGGCCAAGCTCTTCCAAGCTTTCCAAGGTAGGTGGGACAGACGAACACGAGTACGAAAAAGGATACAGAATCTGCTGCGAATAGGAATGCAGATCCACAAAGCTGACAATCTCGGCGTTGTTATTTTGCGTTTCATTGAGAGCCCATTGAGCCAGCTGCTGTGCTTCCAACCCCTCGAATGGCTCGTCTCCCGCATAATTCTCGGAGCAGGGGTTGGAGCGCGTCCGCTCGCCGTCCCATTGGAAATCCCAGGTCCGATCGAGATCCAGCCCAGGACAGAACCGCAGACTGGTCTGTTGGCGATTCTTGCGCCAGAGACGATCCGTCTCCCAGGTGTATACGTAGCCGTCGGGATTGAGCGTGGGCACTAAGACCCAGTCAAAGTCCTCCAGCAGCCGGGTGACCGCCTTGGACTTACCGTACTTGGTGATCAGGTTGTAGGCAACGTAGTTCACTGTCGAGGTGCTGATCCATTCACGAGCATGACTCCCCCCGACGAGGAGGATGGTCTTGCGCGGCGTGGGGCTCTTGTCACGATTGCTGCCTACACCCAGTCGGAGTGCGGGAATTTCTCGGCCCTCATAGGATATTCCCACGTTGGTCATCTGCGCATGGGAAGGAAACATCGAAGCCATCAGACGCATCCAGGGCACAATGACGCCGAGGGGTTGGTATTCGTGGAAAAAGACATCGCCGAGTTGCGTGGCTTGCCGACCTGAGGGGATATAACCCGACTGGCCATGCAGCCCCACCGGTCTGCGACTCGGGTAAGAGGCATAAATCCTGTGTGCTAGATCATCGATCAAGGGGGTGTAGGCAGTGTAGAGGGAGGCGGGTAATAAGCCGAGAAGTGAGGGGATCTAGGCGCCGCAAGCGTTATCAGCGTCGGTGCATGTTATCAGTAATCAATCAGTCGGAGACTTACCACTTCCTGGGCCAAACGGATATCGACAAATTGGGGCGTCGACGCCCAGACGTCAAGGAACAAGATATCAGATGCTTGAGCCAGTGCTTCCGCTTGATCCTCGTTGCGCAAGGTGAACCGTAGAACCACATCGCTGCCGTATCGCGCCAGAGCCTGAGGAGGCGGGGAGTGTCCGCGCAGTGAACTGCTGGCGGACTTTGGTATACTCCATATAGACTCAATGACCCAGTCTCGAAACCGAGTCCATGGCCTTCGGGTATCGGGTGGCTGGCAGGATAGAATTTGAACGGGCTCGATCGGCGGCGGTGGAGTGATGCTGGAGCCTGCGGGGACGGCGGAGACCAGGGCGACCGTTGCGACCAGCAGGAGGACTAGAAACAGAAAATAGCGCATGGCGAATGCTAGGTGCATCACGGAAAATGTACGAGTGACCTTGGTTGCACATCAATTCCCCAGACGAATGTCTGGCGGAATACTCGAGTGATAGCAAGGTTGATTGCAGTGAAGTGAGAAGAAAAGAAAGTTGAAGAGCCGAGGGTGTGAGAATGACGGCAACGGCGAGGCTGAGCTTTCCGCCTCAGGCATCAGGGACACGAGGTCGCACCGTGGGTCTAGCCGATCATTTTAATTGTGATAGGCATCGATATCAAAATGTCACTTTTAAGCTTGACTATCATTTACAATTGGAGACTCGTGCATCTCCCTGGTTTTCATTAGGTTGTTCCACTCACATGCCTTGGAAGGAAATATAAATCCGCCTTCCAAACATTAGGCAGCCTCAAAGACTGTACTCTGATTACACTCTGGTTACAAGATAATTGTTCTTCTGGCATTTCAAACGTCGGATAACGAAGTATAAGAACCCAGATACTGAGGTGGGCCATAAAGAAATACCCAAGCGTGTGAATTGAGCCATTGTGTCGAGCTGTCCATTAGCAAACAACGGATTAGTACGCCTGGATCCTCATCATCGGCTGCCAGATTCTCTATCGACTCCGCTGACTCTGACTGGCAGGGCCGGCCACTAATCCCAACTCGACTAGACCGACCCGGAAGGTCATTTTGAGCTAGCCTTTTACAGAAAGGTGCCCTCTTGCATGGCAGTGCTCTTGCTCTCATACTTCACGTTGCAGACTTGGACTGCGCTGAGCGGAAAACAGCTCGATGTTTTTATACGAAGAGAGTCGCTTTCTAGCTCTGACTCCAGCGCTTCTTGTCAAGAAAAGGACGATGTCACTGATAGCCAGCATCACATTTCCTCTATCACCGTCGCTTCTCCTTGACACGAACCGGAACTCGAAAGATCGCGTACCTCGCATTCTCCTTGCTCAGCTTCCCGGCTGACATGTCACAAACTCATCGCAGGACTACCCTGCAACACTCATATCATGGAATAACGTGGTCTCGTTCTTTTTCGCAGCGCTCTTCCTGTGCGGTGAAGTACAAAAGGAAATCAAGAAATTTCAGAAATCCCTTGCCTTCGGTGAAAGAAGATAGAAAGCATCCTAATGGCGGTGGAGGGCATTTTCATGGAGTTTCCCCTGACCGTGCAGATTTGCTGCGGCCAGTCGCGGCCTGCATGCACCACCCATGGAGAAATCAAATCGTTTCTTCTAGAACAGGTTTAAGAAGACCTTATCAATAGACGATAGCTCGACGGCCCAGGCACATCGAACATTTTGTCGATGGCTTACCTTTGACGGTTCAGATATTGGATACTGCGTTTGTGGGTACGCGTCGCTTGCGATATTTGCAGTTATATATCCCCGTAACGGCAGCGGCCGGCATCGATCTTACACCAGACACTCTCAAAACCCATGATATTTCCTTGTTCGAAATGCGACGGTCGCTTTATTTTATCTTGCGATGCACATTGAATTAATTTGTGAATGGAATACGATAGGATGGCCGCATTCAGAAAGCATTGGGTCTAGCCCCCACGAAACATTGATCTTGACAGGTGAGCGGTATTTATGTCTTACGTATTGTTAGCCCTTGTCAATGACAAACCAAAACCCCGAGATGAGTTCTTGCCAAGCCTAACGCTTGACACCATCTCGCATGCGGAAGCCGGAGGAGGCCGAACAGATGAACGGGTTGACTTTATATAAATTACATTGCAGAGCCAACCCTTCAGGACCGATATGAAGGGGACGAATTTGGTGTGGTGGTTCGGTTCCTTTCGTGGCCCTTGGTTCGAGAGGAAGGGGCGGCTGGCCAGGCCCTACCTCCCTAGTAGCCATCCACTTCCCCAAGTATCCTATGAGTAAACCCATTTGCGGTTGAGAGGGAGAAGGGAAGGGGGTCCGCAATTGCCCAATTGGAATGTG